GGGGGGGAGGAGCCGTGTAACGGCGAGTCGTGCCGTTCCGTGGGCAGCTCTCGCACGGCTCCGCCGTGGGGTTATTCCGGGTGAGGGAGGAAGCCGCAGCAACGGGGCCGCCCCGGTCCCGGACCCGGTCCCGAGGAGGAGCAGCCGCCGCGCACCTGCCCGCCCCCTTCCCCGCCTCCCCGCAGCGTGGGGCCGGCGGGTAGCGGTGCGGGGGTTAGCGGGGCGACCCCGCAGCATCCCACGGGCTGGGCCCTCGCTGCACCGTTGAGCCGTGAGTACCGCCGGGGCCGCCGCTCCTGCTCTCCCCGGAGAGCAAGTTTGGGGGTTTTTTTTTGCGTGGGGAGGGGGGTTAGACGACGAGCCGGAGCCGCTGCGGAACGGCTGCCTCTGCCCGCTTGCTGGCCCTAAGACCTCGGCGGGTCTCGGGAGCTGGGGCCGGCAGCGTTTCTGGGCTAAACGTGGTCTCCTTTCCCCGCAAATCGTGGAGCGATCCCTTCGGTAAAGGAAAAAGCCGCAGCTTTCGAGCCCGGCGAGATGCTTGGGGCCCGGGGTAGAGCTGCAGAGAGGTTCTGCCGGTTGCGGTTGGGCTTAGCCCGGGTGGAAGCGCACGGGCTATTTAATTTGGTATATCGTTGGCCGTGGGGGAGCTGAAGGGCACGGGGAGAAACGGCGCCTCGGGTTTTCTGGCAACTTGCGGGGGGAAGCGGGAGGCAGCTTTTTTTCCGGCCTCTGCAGTGACCGTCAGGGCAGAGGGCTCTCCTCCAGCTACGGCATCTCTGTTCGCGGAGGTGGTCCTAGGTTGGCAGCCGGTTTGGTTCTGCTGGCAGAGCAAATACCTCCTTCTCCGAGGAATGCCGGCCCTGGGACCTCGGCTTCCCTACAGCGAGGAAGAAATGCAGCGGTCAGGTGGCTGGCCCTGCTCTCTGTGCGTCAGTACCCAACCACCGACTGACCGGGCTTTTGTGCCAAGCTAGAAAACTGCAGAAACGGCGGCCTTGCTTTTATGGGGCCTCTTTGTAAAGGGAGCCTGCTCTCCTTTTGACTTCAATAGCCGCTGTCCGATGAGCGCTATCTTGGGGCTCTCTCCGTTGCTGGAGACCGCAAGGAGGGAGGTTAGTTCTGGAGTGATTCAGCAACATGTGGATATTCGGGCGCTTTTGATCCTGACAGTCTCCAGGTGCGCTAGGCTGATGCAGGTAACTTCTTGTCCCTAGGACAGGGCACAGCTGAAATGAGCCTCGGAGAGCTGCTGCCCCTTTTCAGTATGGATGTTCCGGAGGCATGAGCTGCATTTAAGTTTGGGAGAAGGGATGGGACCTCCGCAGCAGATTTGGGATGTCTGTGTGCTAGCGTTTTGCACCAGGAGGTGCCAGTTTGTTAGAAGTTCACTGTTTTGTGGCTCGCTAACACTTCAATGTACAATAGCCTTTTGGTTATGATCACTACAGCCAAGCAAACGTCTCCGTGGAAATCTCTCCCCTCCGCACCCCAGGTTTCTCTCCTGACCCATGAGCATCTGCTGGAAATAGTTTATTCAGCGTGGCAGTGAGTAAGACTCTTGGGGATCTTGGGTGTAAAGATCTGAGTTTCCTTCCTGAGAACTGACTGATTCATGAATCACAGCAAATAGCATCTAAGTCGGAGGCGTAAATAGGCGTAAGTCACCTGCTCTCTTGACATGACAGTCTAGGATCCAAATGGAGTCACTCCTTAGCATCTTGGGTAGCTAGGATAGTCCCTTACACTCTCTGTCAGCTAAGGTCAGCTTGGTGAGGGCGGCAACGGAACCTCTTTGCTCTGCCAGCCCACCTGGTGGCTGTCCACTCTTGCCCTCATCAGCATCAGTTTGGGTCTCTGTAGGTGGAGTGGCACGTGAAAATCAAGGCAGGCGGGCTCTGAAGACTGGAGACTGTTCTGGGTTCTGGTCTGGCTTTGCTGCGTTTCAGGCTCGAAAACTCAAAGAGGCATGCTGAAGTCTCAGTGCTGGCTTCTGTATTTTCTCAGGTGCTGGAGCCTTGTCTCCAAACCCTTAGACAAGCTGATCTTGGTAGACTTGGTAGTCTTGAGAGGCTTCACCCCTTCCACCTGGCCTGCCAGAAGTGGCTGCAAGCCACGCTGCCTTCTCTAAAGGATGTGACTTCTCAGGGACAGGAATTTGAGCTCCTTCAGCTGAAATTCCCGGGGTCTGGGACCCGCTGGCCTTGGCAGGCCCCCAGTATGCCAGCAAACTCAAGGCCATTATGTCACATGCTCTTCATAGCTCAGTTTTCTTGTATGTGGCCTGTGCTGTTGCCTGCAAGAAGATGCGAGGGAATTCTCTTAATTGTTTTCTGGCTTGAAAACAGGCTCCCGCTGCTCCACAGCGTGAAGCACTGAGCTTGTTCAGAAGAGGAAATGCAGATCTGCTTACGTGGTCCGGGACGTCTACATTGCCAACCCACGCTCCGACTGAAGCCGGTAGGAGGGTTTGTAAGCTGTCCATGAACGTGGCGTGGGCCACGGAGTCTCTGCGAAAGGGATGAGGCCAGGGTGCAGCTGGTGACCTCCACTGGTGACCTCCTGGTTCGGAGAGTCACTCGCGAGCGGTGCTTCGCAGGGCATCGGCAGCAGCATTGTTCCCTGGCTTATCCGTCTGGAAAAGATCCGCTCGCCCGTTTGCAGCCAGCAGACCCGAGAGCTTTTTCCTTCTTTCCTAGTCTACCGCTGGAGCTGCTAGGCCACGCTGCATCGTGTCATGGGGTCAACTTGCCCTTTAGAAGCTCATGCTGAATCTCACCAGCTTCGTCGCTCTTGCCTGATGTCAGGGCATCGCTGAGCGATAACGACCTGTTCTGAACTGGCCCACTGCCACCTACTCGAGACGCCACCACCTCGCACAGCGGACAGGTAAAGGGCACAATCCCTCTTTGAAGAGCTGCTGGCCAAGGATGTTGCAGGGAGGGAGCTCCTGGGCAAGTCTAGGAGCCGGGAATATTGAGATCCTCTGATGCGGGCTGCCTCCAATGACCCGAGCGCTCTCATCTTCTCTGTTTACCTGTCTGAAAAATGAGTTGGGGACAGAGATGTCTGTCGCGGAGGAGGCTAGAGGGAGATGAGGAATACCACAGTGATGGGTAGTGCAGCTGAAGCTGTTAACTATCATTCTGGAGAGCAGACTTGCTTGATGCCTACGTGTAGAGGTTTGGCACTGCTTGTGCCATAAAATAGCACTGGATGTGACGGTAGCTCCGCTCGGGCGTCCGCTGGGGGACACTGGGAAGGGGGAATTAGGACATGACCCACATTTCCAGTCCTTGGCAGAGACAAAGGGCTCCTTTCACTTAGATTTTGGTGTGCTTTGTGCTGGACTGCTGTCTAATCCCAGTGCAGCTGGAGACCTGCATATTTTGCTGAGCATCTCAAGGCATGAATTAGTTTCCAGTTCTCGTTTCTCCCGAACCTGGGAATTCGGCAGTCCCAAACCTATTTGGGTCCTGACCCTTACAACCAATTACTTAAAGTGACCCAAATGTTAGCACAGATGCCTCTAAATCCCTCAACCATGGAGTCCTGCTTGGAGCTGCTGTGATCCCCTGTGTGCAAAATACTGAAGGCAAAAGCTGAATTTGAAGATGTCTGCAGGAAGAGTTGCTGCCTGTGCGAAGTGTGCATGAGAGAGGGAGAAGACTGTGTACCCAGATAGGCACTAAGCAGGCTGGGTACCTTTTATCTCTTTCAGATGCGGGAATGTCCCAGTGCAGGTGTTGAGGATCTGCCTCTCGCTCCCTCCTCTCTCAGCTAAAGCACTTCTGAGCGTGAGCTGGGGTGACTGAGGGCAACTTTGAGCTAAGTTTCCAAACAAAACTCCCCAGGAGTAATGGGGAGAGAGGCTTTAATTAGAAAAGACCTCCAGCCTTCTGTGTGCAGCAGAGCCGATTGATTACAACCCACTGAGTTGCTGAAAGACACCGGCTAGGTCAATGTGCTGAATGCCCTTCTTGCCTGAAGCCAGCACTGTCTCTGTGCTGTAGAGCTGGCAACTGTGTGCAGTTTTTTTCCCCGTCCTCCCCACCCCCTTGCCGAGGCTCCACATCCTCCCTGGCAGCTTGTCACTTCTCTGCAGATGTCTAGACAGGAGGATTCAGTGCGTGTCAGTTATGCCTAATTCATTAAAAAAACCCAAACCCTACCGAGAGCTGGGGATTCTCAGTCCTGCAGACTCAGCGCTGTCTGCGGTGCCCCGTGCTGCCTTGAGGCTAGCTCAGAGCAGATTAATTCCACCCATCGGCAGGAGCAGCGCGCTCCTCGCCCTCCCATCCGTAGCAGGGGGGCTTGGGGAATAGAAGGCAGACGTGGTCCAGGGTACCGCTGGCAGCGGGAGCAGAAGAGAGAGGGGAGGAGGCGGAGAGAAGCATTCGGGGCTGAGGCGTGTGCTCCTAACCTCTCCTTGCAGCTCACCCCAGTTGCGTGTTCTTGGCTTGCTCACGTCCTCCGCCGTGTCCGTCAGGAGCTGGCAGAGGGGTGCAAGGTGTCCGAGTCCTCAATCTGGCTGTCTGAAACTGCCAGCTTCCTAATTCTACCGTCCCTCGTGCCACCTCTGAAGGCAGAGCTGGTGCTAGGAATGACAGCTCCCCTTGCCACGTTAAGTCACATTTCCATCAACATTTGCAGTCCTGACCTCTGTACAGGTGCAGCTGTAAATCAGCCATCCCAGTAGCGATGAGTGGACCCGCAGTTCAGAGCATCTAGTTCACTCGCTGGTCCTGAACTATTAGGTCCCCCTGCTTCCTCACGATTGCTGGCTCTTCTGGGCTGAATGCACAATTAACCTTATATTAAAAAGACTGAACGTGAGCTGCTGCCTACTGTCGGTGTCTGTTTGAATTCTCTGGATGCAGGTAACGTGTTACAGCAGCTGAGAAGGGACTGAACCCTAAAGTATTGTATTGAGGGGGTAGATTTTCTGCCTGTATCAGTGACGCTAATGGTACAGGACCTGCTGGGGCCAATTGCCTCGATTTAGTGCTTTGCATCCGAGTCCTGGGCATATACAACTGGATTATTTCCAATCCTCTTTGATGGTGCTCATTGTGGGGAAGGCAGCAGAAAAGGTAGGAATGCAATTTATTTTGTAATGGGCAGTGCCAGGCCCTCTGAAAGAAGCAAGAATTTGGGATATCCAAGTTTGAGGTGTAAGGGTGGGTAGTGTCTATCTGCTGTGGCTTGCGAAAACAGCCCTGGCGTCTTAGATGTGCCTTCTGGGAGAGGATTACTGATGCAAAAATACTGCTAGTTGTCTGGTAGTTTAAAGCTTCTCTTTAGACGTGGGCTTCAGAGCCACGGACAGGATTCAACAAAAGGGATAGCTCAGCCAAATTAACAGAGCCTCCACAAAGCAATAAGGCAGGTGAAAATTTGCAGGCCTGCACTGTACTCGGCTGCATCTCTGGATGCTGGTACGAGCTGTATTAGTGATCTTACTTTGCAACAGCACAACAGCAGCTATTGTTACTGCCGGCTCAGCTGTTTGTGTCCCTTGAGTGTTGAAGGGAAGGAAGAGTCTGCAGGAACACAGGAGCACATCTTCTTCCCAGCCCTGCTCCCAGGAGGAAAAGAGCTACTTGTGCTTGTGTGCACCCCCCACAGCTGGGCAGGGGCTTGCCTGTGCCCCCTTAGGCTGCCCTGAGCTCTATTGTGCATTTCGGTTCTTTGGGGGAATGCTGAATTGCAGGAGGCTGCTTACTGGCAAACGGCCTGTGAGTCCTCTCAGAGGGGTTAAAAATAAGAATTCTGATTTCTGGTCTAGGGGAGATGGAGATGCACTTGGAAGCAACGATTCCTGCCTGTGACTCCTTCTTCCCCAGGGCTCCATGCTGTTGCATTGCCTCAAGATAAGTCTTGCTGTGCTGTTGTAGAGGGCACTGCTTTGGCTCCACTGCTCAGAATGGAGATGTGAAGCTGCTGGGCACAACTCAGTAGCGCTGCTAGCAGCCCCTTCTTGCCTGGGGACAGAGCCAGAGGAGGGCAGTAGGCAAAAAAAGGACTTTATGGCTGGGAGATGGACCCCCAAGACCAATGAAGAGGGGGAACCACTCCCCTGAAAGGGAAACTGGCAACATAGTGCCATCTTATTGACCTAGTTTGTGCTGCCTGCTGCTCTGTTTGTGCCGTGACACCCTGGGGTAGAGGTGAGTGCCAGCCAGGACTTAACGTCTCGTCCCGAAGGTCTAACGGCAGCACTTCTGTGGGAGATGCAGTGCTGCGAGCAAAGCGGGGCTTTGTAGCTGATTTGCCAGAAAAGAGGTGCTGGAACATCAACACAGGGATAGGGCGCACGTGGAAGTGATGGATTTAAGCGTGATTGTGTGTCAGGCATTAGGGCATGTCACGCCGTAGAGTAGGGGATGTCACCTTATCCACAGCAAAGACTCGTCCCCAGCGCCTGACCAGCTGTACAGGATGTGTCTTTGCGGTCTCCTAGCTAGCCTGGCGGACACAAAATCTCCATCCAGGCTGTCAACAAAAAGCCATTCTCCAGGGCCTTCCTGGGGAAAGGGCAGGCTCTGAACTTTTCCCTGGAGGATACTCTGTTCCCTGTTTATTGCTCAGCACGCTTCTTTTCACTCTCGGCAAAATATGGTTTTTTGTGCAAAGAGAACAGACCTCCCTTTGGGCAGGGATCATTTGCATTAATTAACAGAGCTGTTATGCATGGCCACGCTCTGTCTCATAGGAGCCAAACAAACGCCTTCTTTTTTTTGTCATAACCTAAGAGTTATTACAAGTCAGCCACCGCATCCATTATAGCTGATGCGTAACACGTGCATTCATGCTGCTGCATGCTCCACAAAAGTGGGCTTGTATTTACGTCCCCCCACTGGAGCTCTGGACACTGCTTTACTGTCTCTTGTGGTCCAGGCACTGTTCCTCATTAATTATATTTTAGCAGCGCTCATAGACCTTCATTTCCTGGGAATGAAGTTTTACAAGGAAATAAGGAATATTTAGTGCTGCCAGTGAGGCTGAGAGTTCAGGTACAGGGAGCAGCACAAGCAGCAGCGGGGTGTCCTTTCCCTTTTTCCCCACTGATTATGTCCTGATCGGTTAAAGCAGAAGATCTCTGATGGGAACAGGTAATTGCAGAGCGGAGGGGACACTGGGAAGTGGGACCGAAGGGGCTGCACCCACTGCAAGCCTTAGGCCAGCTCCCTGCCAGTGCTCCCTGTGCTTCAGGAGGGTGACCTTTTCCCAAGGTGGCTGGCGGGTGGGTGAGCTGCTTTTCAGGGGAGGGATTGCTGAGGCCGTAGCGTGACTGTAGCGAAAAACCATCGAGCAGAGTTGGTTCAGGCTGCCTGCGGGTCACGTCAGCTGTGGACTGTCCTCCCCGGTGCGAGGATGCTCTTGGGAGCCCGGTGGCTGGGATGGCATCTCCCTCTGGTCCTGCTCGGTCACGTCAGAGGATGAGTGACACAGCGATGGTGTAGCTCGGGGTGCTGCACAGCAGCGTGGGCGAGGGAGGCACCGGTGGTGTTGGAGTTGAGCTCTTCAGAGCTCTGCGAGGTGCGTGCCAGCCCTCGAGGGGAGTGAGCAATAGCTGGTCCCTACCTCTGGGCCGTGGGAATCATTGCAAGGAAAGATAATGTCACCCTTGTCGCTCTGCATTTGTACTAGCCCAGAGTTGTGCAATGACTCAGTGGCAGGGCTGGGAAGAGAGCCCAGCACTTCCGACCCTCTTTGGAAATGCGTTTGATTGCTGTGATGCCAATGCATCGGCTACAGCAACCTTCAGCCTGTTGTGCCCTCTGTGTCTCTCCCATCACCGCTGGAGCCGAGTTGTGTGCTACCTGCCGCCTGGCCGGGGCAGCAAACCTTTCCTCACAAGTCTCCGAGAGCACAAGGAGAAGCAGTCCCATCTTTTCCCTGCTTTTCTGTCCTGTCCTGCGTTGTTCCCCCTGGGTTTTCCCACTGCTGCGGAGCCGGGAGCTCCTATCCCTTGCTACCAGTGCCCAGCAGGGACGAGGCGAGTGCTCTCAATTAGAGCTGGGGCATGACTTAAATACTGATGGGGAGAAGTATGCTTAGCAGTGTATTAAAAAGATAAACCAGCTCAAGCAGATCAGGAAAACCCTCAGGCTTGCAGCTAGGAGGGAGGGGAATAAAGGCAAGAAAGCATCGTCTGCTCTCTGCCACTAAACTAGGTCTGGGAAAGGAGCTCTTGAGCCCAGGTAGAGATGCTAATAATTACAAACCGCCTTCCTGTGGGCACCTCTTATCCAGCAGTGTCCACGCATGTCAATTAACACATCGAGGGTGTCCCAGGGATGTTGCAGCTTTCTGAAAAGCTCAGCTGAGGGCTGTGGGAGGAGAAGGCCGGTTAACTCAGGGGCTTTTCTTTCCTGTCAAGGGCACAATGGCATCCTACTCTCATTACTGGAAAGCAACAACAGGCATTGCCTTTGTTGTGTGCCTGTGAGTTTTCCCTGCTGACAGTGAAATGAGGAATCTCATATCACACGGGATGATGCAAATAGAAGAGGGCATTACAGGCTTCTCTCCTGCTCAGGGAAGATGTTTATTCATCTTTTTTCCTCCCCCAGACTCTAGTACGTGATACAATTGCTATTTAAAAACGAATAGATGGCTGCGTTCGTGGCTGAGCAGGCACAGCATGGTGGGTTTCTATTTTTAGGCTCAGCACGGCTGGCGACGTGTAGGTGTCGTGAGGAGCACAGAGGCTGAGGGGATTCTCTCGCCGCAGGGATGCGGGGGCAGGCGCACGAGTGCAGCACACGGGCTGCTTTTTTTCTTCAAGCTGCCTTTTTCTCCTGCTCCCTCCCCCTTCTTGCTCCTGCTGCTCAGTCATTCTCTCTTCACTCCCTCACCTTTCCTTCGGGTGCTGCTGGCAGGGAGACAGTCGAACGCCTCCTGAAACACCGTGAGCAGCCTAGATGCAGACAGCATGGAAAGAGAAAATGTTTTTGCACAAATAAATGCCCTTATTCCTTGATTGGGCAATTTTTTGTTTCCTACGAGCTGATCAAGTTTATGCTCCTGCTGTCTGCCTGGGCTGTCCCAGATTGCGTGGAAGGACTGTCCCGCTCCACGCTCAGTGCGTGCAGACCGAGTTCTGCATTGGGTCCCAGCCACCTGATCAGCACTTCTGGTCTTTACTGTTTGTCCCTCCTGTCCCTCCTTGTGAAACCCAAACTACCTGAAGTTCCAAGTTACCTCTGGAAGGACAGCCAGCGTCTCAGCTGGGGCTGCTTCCAGGGAGATCTAGGGGCTCTGCTTTGCCCAAACTGCCTGCTAGGCTAGCGCAGAGCGGGAGTCTGCGGTGCTGGAGCAGGACTGTTTGGTGCAGCCTTGAGGCTGTGGTGAGGTTGGACGTGCCTGGGTAGAGGACACTGGAGGGGAGTGGAAATCAGGATATTAAAGTACATGTTTCCTGTTCCCTAACTGGGAATGGCCAGCCTCTGTCCGAAAAGAGACCTGAAATATCAAATGGCAGGAGTTGAACGCCTGGTCTGCAGGATTGTGTACTGGGAGTGTAGAGCTCTGTGCTGCAACTGCCTTTGCCCTCTGCCTTATCCTCCTGAATTGTGTGGGCACAGGAGAGACAGCAGCTCTCTGAGCTTAACTTTTGAAGGTGGGTGCTTTCATTACAAATCTCGTAGCATCTTCTGGAAGCTGGAAGAAAACAGCCACCACTGGAAGAGCTGTGGTCCATAACATCACTCTCGCCTTCTAGGATGTGGGATTCCCTGGTTATTTTTTGTTTAGGCTGATCAGGGTTGTCACATTCGCTGTCTCTAGTGGTCTGTTTAAGCTGATCAACACAGGACTGCCATGCCCTGGTGAGACTTCTAAGATCAATGCTTCTGCTGATATTGCATGGAAATGCACCTCGTTAGGCAGATTTGGAGATGGTGCAACTTCAGGGAAAACCAGTGTGAGCGCGTATGTTGTAGAGCAGTACCCTTCTGAAGGCAGGTAAGGAGGATATCGATCCAAAGATGAACACAGCTGGGAAGCAGTGAGTGTCACAGAACAGAGAAGAGTCTCAGCATCACTTTGTACTACTTGTGTTCCTCCAGGGACTGTCTCCTCCCCAGCGCTGGTTTATGAGCAGGTTGATGTTTCCCTGGCAGGGGCTGGCTAGATGGGAGCTGTTCTTGCACAGGGTCTTTGCGCGGTGGTGGGCATACTTGGGGCCCGTGGGACTTGTCTGGGGCTAGAGCTATTCCTGCCTTGGGTAATGCTTTGGTTTTCCCTCATGTCAGTGCCGGTAAGAAGGGAAAGCCCACCATCTACCACCTGCAGCCATGGAAGGGGGTGTGCAGCTCCTCAACCGCGACGGCCACAGCATCTCCCACAACTCGAAGCGGCACTATCATGACGCCTTCGTGTGCATGAACCGCATGCGGCAGCGAGGGCTGCTCTGCGACATTGTGCTCCATGTGGGCACCAAGGAGATCAAGGCCCACAAGGTGGTGCTGGCGTCGTGCAGCCCGTACTTCCACGCCATGTTCACAAGCAAGTAGTGTCCTCTCTTCCCCGTGGCCAGGGTTTCCCAGCTCTTCAATCCCTCTCCTCTCTGCAAACCCCTTCCCTTCCTGTCCTGCTCCCTGTTCTCACTGCCCTACCCTATGGAAATACAGTGCCTGTATATCATCTCTGTGAGCGAGTGCAGTAATATTCCTCATTTGACTCCCTTCCATGAAGCCCTTTGCCCGTAACCCCCTGCACAGGTATCCTGACGCCCATCCTGCAGACATGGACCCCGTTCCCTAGCATATACTGCTGCTCCTCCTTGCTAAGAGGTGGGCAGGAGACCCTCCTGGGCTGTGGAGGTGGATGTGGCTTGTTCCATGCATGGTCAAGTCTTCCTGTGGGGAAACAATCCTGCCGTGGGACTTTGTTCACATCTAGTATCTGTGTTGCCCCAGATGAGATGAGCGAGAGCCGCCAGACGCACGTGACGCTGCACGACATTGACCCACAGGCCCTGGAGCAGCTGGTGCAATACGCTTACACGGCTGAGATTGTGGTGGGCGAGGGGAACGTGCAGGTAGGAGCTTCCCCCCAAACCTCTCTTCTCCACAAAGCCGTTCTGTACGAGACTTGCCTCCCGGGGACTCTTCTCTCCTTCTGCTCAACACTTTCAGCTGTTGTTCTGTGATGGCACCTGCATCTAGCAGTGGTCAGGGAGTTCGTCTGCTCCCCTGCGCCCAGTCTTGCGACTGCTGGGGCTGGGAATGGCTCCTCAAAGCACTACGCAACGGCCAGGGCTAGTTCTGAGCATCTGCCATTCTCCTGCCATTTTCTGGCCTTGTGGGGAGTTACAGGTGTCCTTCTCGGCTGTTCTTTAGCTTAGTCCTGTTGGAAACAAAGAATGCTTTGTCCCTTACGCGCTTGTGTGCCTGAAGGTGTTCAGTAAGCCTGTTCTGTTATTGACTTGCAGTGAGACGAGGGTGAAAATGGTTTCCTTGCCCTGGAAACTCTCTTTTCCCCCATTCTTTTCCACTGCCAGACACTTCTTCCTGCTGCCAGCCTGCTTCAGCTCAATGGTGTGCGGGACGCTTGCTGCAAGTTCCTGCTCAGCCAGCTTGACCCATCCAACTGCCTGGGGATCCGGGGTTTTGCTGACACGCACTCCTGCAGCGACCTCCTCAAGTCTGCGCACAAGTATGTCCTCCAACACTTCGTGGAGGTGTCCAAGACAGAGGAGTTCATGTTGCTGCCTCTTAAACAGGTGAGGTCCTGACAGGAGCGTGAAGGTATGTGTGTGGCAAGGCTTTTTGTGCTGGAAAGCATGGTCTGCGGGTCAAAAGCCCAAGGAACCTGCGCTGAGGGGACGGGGTTTGGCGGGGGAACGTACCCAGATTCTGTGCTTTGGTCTTCTCTGTTCAATGGAGAGACAATATGTGGGAAGAGTGCTGCCAGTGAGCTTAATCCCATGTGAAATAGGGATGGGAGGGTAGCACGGAGGATAATTGCTGTCGCTGGTGCTTGCCACGTGAGCGCTGAGCACACTGCCCTCTCTCTGGGGGCACAAGCCAAGGAATAAGTTCTGGCTGCCCTGATCATGTAGCTGTGATGTTTAATTCAGAGCTCAGCTAATGTTTCCTGCTGCTTTTCATGTGGTGCTGGTGTGGCCCCTGGCTCATCACTGTCTGCAGGGTGCTGTCCTGTGCCCTGGCCAGGAGGCATTCCCAGTCCTTGCTCTGCATCACCTGAACCTGTGTGGTCTCTCACCAGGATACAGACACCTCCCTTTGTCGGCTCTCGGGGCAGTGGGGTGCATGGCAGCGAGGGGGGGCACGTATCTCCACCTGCTCCAGCTCCATAGTCTTTGGCAGGTGAAATGAGTGTGTTGGGAACAGCCAGGACCCCTGGCTCTATCCCGTGCAATATTGAAGGGACGGGTGCAAGCAGTCTTCTGCCTGATCTCACTGATGCTGATTGGAAGTGTCAGGCATTGCAGCAGCTTCAGACACAGAAGGGGGGGAAATGAGCCAAGGAGGGTGATGGAGGGCAGAGCTGTCTCCACACCAGTGCTGCAAGGAGAGGAGCTGCAAGGTTTGGGGGACCCGGTTGCTCTTTGGATCCTTCTGCGTCCAGTGAGAGAGGCTAGCTGTACACTCCTCAACTGCCAGCATCTACAGGAGGCAGGGGCTCTGCCTCTGGCAGTGCTGTTCTGCTGGGCCAGTTACCCGAGCGTGTGAATGCGTCCTTTCCTCCCAAACCACACCAACAAACACTTGCTCTTTCCACCCTGCTCTGCAGGTGCTGGACCTCATTTCTAGTGACAGCCTCAATGTACCATCAGAGGAGGAGGTGTACCGGGCTGTGCTCAGCTGGGTCAAACATGACGTGGACAGCAGAAGACAGCATGTTCCCAGGGTGAGTCTGCTGGGGAAGGTGGCCTGGATCTACCCACCAGCTCCGAGTGCCTGGTCTGGGTAGATACACGGCTGAAGGAAGCTGCACGGTGGCCAGAGGGCAGGGACAGCAGATCTCTGCCACACTGCTTCCAGTCCAGGCAGAGATGAGGGTGTTGCTGAGAAGGTTCAGACTCCCAGCGTGAAGTCCAAACTAGTGACAAATCTCAGGGGGATGCCCTGTCTGACCCCTGGCAGCTCGGGCACACAGAGCTCTGGGGGGGATGTGGGCAGCAGGAGAGGTCAGCCCTGCCTGCAGCCTTCCTGAGCTTTCACGTGCATCCTCAAACAAAAAGCTCAGGCAGATGCGAGCAGGGACTCCTTTTAGCTCATGCTTTTGTCTCTCTGCATCTGCACCTTGGAGCATGGGTCTGCGAGCCTCCTGCCCGCCAAAGGTGCAACTGGAGAAGACATGGTTAAGCCCTTTCCCGCGGGGCTGCCAGTGCTTGGCACGGCGTGGGCACCCTCTCAGGGACGCAGCCTTGCGCTGTCGGTGCCTCCAGCAGCCCTGGCTTCTCATCACCTTGCCACTCTCATGCTTCCAGGCAGGCAGTGGGAGGAAGCATCCCTAGGTGTCCTCCCCAAGGCTGGGACTGAGATGGGGCAGGATGAGATAGACTCTGTCTGAAGGTTTCCCCTGGGTTTCTGCCTACCCCAGGGCTTGACCCTAGAGGAGTTCTGTCTCCACCTTTGCTGGCTGTGTGCGCTCAAACATCCCTCCTGTGGGCAATGCAGGCAACGTGGGGCATGCTGGATGGAGGGGAGCGGTGCCTGGGCTCAGTGAGGATTGTTGCTTATACCACGAGTGCTGGAAGAGGATGCGGGTACTGGCAGAGGGCAGGGTGGGGATCTGGGGTGGCTGCGGGACATGTCACTCCCAGGCTGAGGGCTCCTGGCTCTGCAGAGACGTTAAGGCTGAATTGCTGCGTGTGCTTTGATGCCCTTTCTCACTGGCTGCCTATTCTGCCAAGTGAGCGGGATGACTTCTCCAGGTGGAGTCCGCCTTGCCAGGGTCCCCGGGGCTTGTAGGGGAGACGTGGGGGCAACACTGGGACGAACCCTTCCCACCGTGTCGATGGGGTGCGACTCCTCTCCCCGCAGCTTATGAAGTGCGTGCGGCTGCCCTTGCTGAGCCGGGACTTCCTCATGAGCAACGTGGACACGGAGCTGCTGGTGCGGCATCATTCGGAGTGCAAGGACCTGCTGATCGAAGCCCTCAAGTACCACCTCATGCCGGAGCAGAGAGGGGTCCTCAGCAACAGCAGGACGAGGCCGCGGCGCTGCGAGGGGGCCAGCACCGTGCTCTTTGCTGTGGGTAAGGCTCTGTCACGACCCAGACTGGACAGACCAGGGAGTCGTGTTTAATTCGAAATTCCCTCGGGCTAAATTAAGGTGAATCGACACCAGACGATCAGTTAAAGATCTTATAACAGAAGCAAACTGAACTGGGGAGGCGTGGTAGTAGGCGGCAGGGTTTCTCACAACAGGAATTGGCATAAGACTACTTCTGTAAACCGTGTAACCATATACATCAGTGCAGGGAATAAGGAGATCCCTCCCGTTGAGTCACGAGGTTCAGAGCAGACCCCCTTGCTTTCCAGACTCCTCCTCAGAGAAGGGCCCAGGGGCAGCTGGATCCACTCTTAGTCCAGACTTGGTCAATGGTTTATGCCTTGAAAAGGATGAGATGTAGGGATTGTGGAAAAGGAAAAAGAGAAGAAGACAGAGAGAGAAAGGAATAGAGAAAGATTTCACTGGTCCTGGGTCCAGCGTTGGTTCAGTCAGCTGAGGGGTCCAGTCCTGGTGGGTTTGTGCAACTGAGGCTTCAGTTTGTGTCCTTCTATCATCCTTGCCCCTCCTTCAGGCAGGCACCCAAACTCGTCAGGTTAATGAGCAGTTTGTGAGCCTTCGGGCTTTGGGGGTCGTTTGTGGAGTAACTTCTCCTCCCCTGCAGACGTGGCCATTGTTTGATCTCTGTATCAGAACAGGGAGCTGCGCACCCTCCGGCACGCCCTCCCCCTCCTGTTGCCGATGTCTGAGCTGGTGGGCTTTTCACCTTGGTTCCTTGCTGGCAGGGTTTGTCTTTAAGCAGAACTTGCCCCACCACAACGTTTGAGACATTAACTCTTTCAGTCTCCCGCAGGGTCCCGCCACGCGCTCACAACGTACGTGCAAACCCCTTCCCGGGGCCTTTGGACTGTTGTTTGCTCTGTTTGCCATCCCGCGCGCAGGTGGGGGGAGCCTGTTCGCCATCCACGGGGACTGCGAGGCCTACGACACGCGGACGGACCGGTGGCACATGGTGGCCTCCATGTCGACTCGCAGGGCCAGAGTGGGAGTCGCTGCCATTGGGAACAAGCTGTACGCCGTGGGCGGGTAAGGAGGGCACGGGAGCCGCGGGGATGCTTTCTGCACCCTCTGAACAGAGCCGGCGCCGATCTAGGTTCTGGGTCGGCTCCAGAGCTGTAGGACCAGCCCACAGCCTCACCCGCGGTCCAGGCTTCCCAGCTCTTACATGTTTTCCTTTTTTCTCCCTCACAGCTATGATGGGACCTCTGATTTGGCCACAGTGGAGTCCTACGACCCTGTCACCAATTCCTGGCAACCTGAGGTGTCCATGGGCACCAGGAGGAGCTGCCTGGGTGTAGCAGCACTTCATGGGCTTCTCTATGCTGCTGGGGGGTACGATGGGGCCTCGTGCCTGAACAGGTAGGGGATTGCCTTGCTACGGGCTCCTCCACTGCTCTTGCATGCACTGTCCTTGGCGCTGGGTGCCTGGGGAGCCCACAAGGACCGGCCCCAGAGTAGATGTCTTGCAATCCAGCTATGTCTTCCATGCTATGTCTTTGGCCCAGGCAAAGTTTCTTCAGGGGAAAAACCGTTTTGTAGCCCTCTGCCACAACAGAACACAGCCTTTGTCAGTTCTTCCCTCCATTTTCCCTGTCTAATCCCAAGCTTCCTTGGGAGCTGCCCCTGAGGGCCTGTGTCAAAGAGCTTTGACCTGGGCTTTGCCAGTGTCACACCTTATGTTCCTGTGTCCCTGCCTGCTGCAGCGCAGAGCGGTACGACCCTCTGACAGGCACCTGGACATCCATCGCTGCCATGAGCACCAGGAGACGCTACGTCCGGGTGGCAACGCTAGGTGGGTGATGGCATGAGGACCTGACTGACTTCTGTGCGGACTGTCTCTTGCATTTCTGGTGCTTCCTTTCGATGTTCTTCTGTTCTAGTTCCTGCCCCTTCTTCCTAGATTCCCTAGCTGTGAGTCCGGGTAGCCCAGCCATTCCTCTGCCATGTCCTGACATGCTCCCTGCCTTGCCTCTCCTCTCCTCCTCAGTCTCGCTAGTAACTGGGTTTCATCACATTCTGGAGGCAACTCCTGAAGGGACCCACAACTTTGTTCCTCAGCTCCTTTGTGCCCCTTCTACTTTGGAGCAAGAGGGCTAGCTGTGGATGATCACCTCTCCCTAGAAAGGAAGAGACAACCTAATTACTCCTTCATTATGAAAGCAGGGCAGTCCCTTTACTGACGATCCAAGCAGTAGCGCAGGGTCAAAACTGTCTCTGCCAGGGGCGTCACAGCATTAGGTGCAATGCTGTGGTGTCTCCTGACTCCACTGAATGAGTTCTGTCCTCAAGGAGGATGCAGTGTGAGAGCTGGCCACTTGGTTGTTTAGTGCAGCTATGGGGGCAATGCAAGTACCACTCCCCACCCTTAGCAGGTGCCGGACCTCCCTGGGGATGCCGGGGTAGCACCCTGCTCCCCACCATCCCAGGAACTGCTGTGCCGTGTCCTGGTGTCCCTAGGGTGCCTCTCCCCTGCCCTGTTCTCTGGTTTCAGCTCTCAGCGCTGACTCAGATGTTCCCCCCCAGCTCCATCACCAGCTCATACTCTCTCTGCCACGGCCTTTATTGGCATTCCCCCGCTCCAGCCTCGGCTGCTAAAAATAACCCGTTGCTCTGGCGGGGAGCACTTGCAGCTCCCGTAATGAGGAGGTCAAGAAGCGGCAGGCGAACGAGCTCTTTGGGAAGCTTGCAGCGTGGCAGAGAAATTGCCTGATGAATATTTCACGATGCTCCGTGCTGCAAGGGGAGGGGAAGCTGGGGGAGCCCGGCTGAGAGGAGCTTGGCTGCCTGGGGAGCAGGAGGCACTGCGGCTCAGCTGATACCTACCTGGGCACCCTGTGCAAGAGTTGTGGGAGGCTGTGCTGGGACTGGGGCCACGCTCTTTAGCTAACTCCTGTGCATGTGTGACTGTCTTTGCAGAAGGCAACCTCTATGCCGTTGGGGGATATGACAGCTCATCCCACTTAGCCACAGTAGAAAAGTATGAGCCCCAGGTAAATACAAGAGAGAGCACGCCTGATAACCCTTTTCCTTCTCCCCTCTTTATGGGTGCCTGAAAGGGCCCTGCAGAAAGCTGAGGGCTACACAAGTTGCTAGAGAACTTAGCAGACAGTGAGAGATCAGGTACGCGTGGTGTCTTAGCAAACCGCTGCCGTGGCTTGAGATGGGACCGCTTCCTAGCAAAGTATTGCAGCAGGAGTGGAGCAGAAGATGTGCCCACATGAGCCTGGGCAGCACAGACCTCCCTGGAGACTTAAGTCACCATGCGTGATTATGAGATGGAGCGGGGATCGGCCCCCTCCCCAGCTCTTCTGCAGGGGCAGAGTATCCAGGGTGCAATCCAGAGCAAAACGAGCGAAAGCTCATCCGCGCAGGCTCTGAGATATCTCTTTGCGGTTTTCAACCACCAGAACACTCTCTATCCCCATTGCCTGTAGACCAGCCCAAGTTCTCTAGGAAGAACGGTTCTTGTACGTGCCCTGAGCTGTTTCCAGCTGAGGTCCTTGCTGCATGCATAACCAGAGCGGTTAGCGGGGATTGTGGCAGGCTGGCGACCTGTGTTGGGCCTGGGGTCTCACAGCTCTGTTAGAGCAGGCTAGATTGCTGCAGAAATATCAAAGAGAAGGTCCTGGAGGTTTTTCATGAGCTGTAAAGCCACGGTCGTGACTCATACAGATTCGAAATAGATACAGCTCAACCCCCATGCCTGGGCTGGGATTCAGCTGTGACGTGGCTGGTGGCCTGGCACAGAGATCTCTGTGCTCAGGCCGCCGGGATGGCAGGACTCCTGCCAGCTGCGGCTGTGCTTTCCCGAGTCAGGCGGCAGAGGTCTCTCCTGGTGCCTGCAGCTCTTCCTGCGGGAGAATTGAAAGGAAAGAAGTGGGGTGCCCCCAAAAGTCTTTTTCGGGGAGGACCGATATGTCAGGAGGTGCGTGGTTAGAACGGGACTAATATCACAGGACCGGTTTGGCAGGGGTACGTGGAAAATGCCTTGTATGTCTGTCTCACGAACAAACTTTGCCTCTTCCCAGATCAACACCTGGACGCCCATTGCCAATATGCTAAGCCGTCGGAGCAGCGCAGGAGTGGCCGTGCTGGAGGGGATGCTCTATGTGGCTGGCGGCAACGATGGGACCAGCTGCCTTAACTCTGTCGAGCGCTACAACCCCAAAACCAACACCTGGGAGAGCGTGGCACCCATGAACATCCGCAGGTAAGGAGCTCTGCCCCTGCCACGCTCCCAAGCTGCGGGGGGAGCCTCAGCTGCTGCGGTCAGAAATGGGGATCCCACCTCACCGAGAGCCTCGCCTCGCTTGGCACCGCAAACCGTAAAATGCAGACCGTGCCCCAGGGCTTGGCTTAACGCTGCAGTTGGCTGGCTCTGTGCTGCTTACACAAAAGGCAGCCCACGCTCCCCGCTGCGAGGGACCGGTGCGTGTGTGTGCCAGGAGGGGCGAGCAGGGACGTTCTGCGGCAGGCGCTTTCTGCAGAGGGATTTATTCTCAGCAGTCTGCGTGGCCGTAAAGAACCAGGTGATATAGTTGGCTGAGGCCACGTAGGAGATGTTGCAGGGCTGTGGGAGGATTTAAGGCTTGGAAGTCCAAGGATTTTCGTCTCCTAGGGACTGTTATTTAGAGGTGGCACTTCTTCAGTGGTAGGAAGGTATCGGAGTGAAGGGAAGACGTGAGGCTCTATACTGCGCTCCGCCACTGACTGTTTGAGCCCCAGTAGTTCATTTTCACTGGGCATTTGTGAGGCTGGGCACTCCCTTTTGTGGGACGGCAGAGCTCTGGCCGGTTCGTCTGAGGTGCTGAGCTCCCCTACGCCCCACATACGCCGCATTCGAGCCTCACGTGGGGTCTCTGCATGGTCGTTCCAGGAGCACCCACGACCTGGTAGCCATGGATGGGTGGCTGTACGCAGTGGGTGGCAACGACGGGAGCTCCAGCCTCAACTCCATCGAGAAGTACAACCCCCGTACCAACAAGTGGGTTGCGGCCTCGTGCATGTTCACGCGCCGGAGCAGCGTGGGGGTGGCCGTGCTGGAACTCCTCAACTTCCCACCCCCCTCCTCGCCCACGCTGTCGGTGTCTTCGACGAGCCTTTGACAAAGAATCAGGACCTACCTTACCTCAAGGGGACAGGGGTGCCTGGCGGAGCGCTAGGCCAGCGTGGCCCACCCCACGGGGCAGCCGGTCGCTGTAGGAGGACGAGCGAAGGTACCGGCTGCTGCCTCCAGCCCCAGCGAACCCCCGGAGCTATCCCCGCTCTGGGTGCACACATCGGATCGGCACGACCACAGCAGTTAGAAATGTGCTTCCCGGGCGAGCACCCTCCTTCTGGGTGCTCTCTGCTCCGTTCAGACTCATCTCACCGCTCACCCAAAGGGCGTATATTTTCCTTTGGGGAGGGGGAACTCTAAACCATTGCTGCTTCTTGGATTCACGGGATCCAGCCGGTGCCACACGTTAAGAGCACAGCCAGCCTTGGAGGCTTTCGGGAGTCCTGTGGGGTGGCAGAGGTGGACAGCACTCCTCTCAAAGGACACGGCTGAATGTGCAACCGCTCCTCTGAATGTCACTGTAGCCAAACTCTTTACCAAGCCTATTGTGCACTGTTAAAGACTCTGAGGCCGCTGTATGGTTCTCAATGGTGTCTAATTGATGCCTTAAAATACACAAACAAAAGAAGCCCAGCTAAGGGATGGGGCCTGGAGGAGGTGAGGTTTGGAGACACAACTGGATGCAGCATCCTGAACCCTCCAGTGTTTCCATACTCAGCTGGCCCCACCTCATTCACTAAAATCCCAGCTGACCATTGCTCTGGGGAGTCCCCAGCCAGGCAGATGGGTTGAATGACCTTGTTTGCATCCGTGCCATCGCTGTCCCAGGTTCAAGTGACTGCCTGCTCTCTGCACGTGGTCCTGGTTCACAGTTTGGCTGGGAACGGATGGGCCTGTTTGCTGTTCCCCTCTCTGCAAAGCAGATTCTGGGTTTATGGAAAGGTATCGGTTCTTAAACAAGAACAGTCCAGCCTTCTAAATGAGGAGGATTGCCTGGTGTTACTTTTTGGGTGTTAATTTTTTTGCCTTTTTTTATTTGAATGCTAATATTTTAATTTTTAATGACTTCATATCCCTTTATTTTTTACACTATCCTGGTATTCCCTGTCCCATCTGCTTTTAAGGCAGCAGAAGGGATGCAATTACTTTTCTCATTTGTTGATGAGATGATGACTGTGTCCTGGAAGACGTTCTCTATAGATGTGTGGGTGTGTGTGCATGTGTGAGATACTGTACGTACAGTGAAAACAGCGTGGAAGGGACCATTTGCAATTAGCAACTCCCTGGCAATTAAGCAACCACTTTAATTAACTGAAGGTTGAATAAATTAGTACTGTAAGTCACAGGCCTGTCCTAGACCCACCTGTGCCATGGAACCTCTTGGGTGGTGTTCTCAATGGGTGTGCTGTAGGGTGTGTGTGTGAGCCTTGAACAGAGACATATTATCAGGTGTTCTCCACGTTGTAGAGGAATGACTCAACCACTGGTACCTCAATAGTGTTCAAATGTAGCATTGGAAATATGGTCTAACTGTTTGTTTTGAACTAATTCCTTGTCCTTTTTTTCCCCCCCGTTCCTTCTCATTTCTCATTTACAGAGTTCGGATTTCACTTGCGGTGGTATTCATTGGCCTAAATTTCAACGTGGCTAGGGATTTCTTCTTTTCTCTTTTCTTTGGGGTGAAAGGAGACTTTGAGATGAGGCAGGGACTCCCCAACTTAAGACAATTTTTATGGCGATCTGATTTCTCCCGGACAGGTGCCTGCACGTTTTACAAGCCCACTTACAGTGCCTAACGTCGGACACCTGAAATTACCAGCAGCTTCTGAAAATCTGGGCTGCTTCTCCTCCCAGCCTCTCCCTAGGGACAGTCTGGGCTTCTCAGGCTGAGGCGGCCTTTTTGGCTTTTAGAACAGGCTCTAAATCTGCTTTTCGTTCCCCTCTCACTTGCCAGGCCTCTGCCCCAGCCTGTCACAGCTCAGCAGCTCTCCCATTCCTCTGTATTGCAGAGGTCCCTGCGAATGTCCAGGCTCTGCTCCTGCAGGTTGCCTCTTGGTCAACGTGGCAGAAGGGCTGCCCTAAGTAGGTCACCTGAAGCTGCTCTGTTGGAAGTCACGACGAAATCGGTGACGTCTGCTCTGTTGCGTGCGTGTGCGTGTGCCTATGCGTGATCGAGGTCTCAATCCTTTCCATCCCATTCCTATAAGCGACATCAGGATTTTAGTTGTCTGCTGAACTCGTACGGACCAGCGCATTCACGGTCCCACCGGCTCTAGGGCCCTCTTTGAGGGAAGATCAGCCCAAAAACCCCATGGCCACGTCAGAAGTGAAAGGTGCCGGTGCTGGGCGTTGCTTGGCCCAACGTGCCGAGGTCCTGCCAAGACCTCTGTGAGGAATGGCGAAAAGGAGAGCGGAGCTGAAGGGAGTGCTGTACGACAAGGAGGGCCAGAGAGGAACTGCTGAAAGGAGAAACGGGGCTGATTTCAAACAAGGAACGAGTCGTCGTGGCAGTGGCTCAGCATCTGGTCCAGCTGTGGCTGCTGTAGTCTGAAGGGGGAGGCTGCAGGCAGGCAAAACCGGAGGGGGAGCGAGCAGCGTAGCAGGCTGAGGAAAATTTTTGTGCCATGTGCCCTTGGCCCCCAGTTGCAATCTCTAGCAATTTACGTTACAAATGGTGTGTGGTGCTGTCCTGCCTCTTGAGGATCAGCGAAACGGGCAGGGTGACTCCTGTCACCCACCGGTTGGGTCCTGAGCAATATCACCACCGAGCCTGTTCTGCAGAAACCTGGGGAGGAGGGAGGCTTTTTGTGTCTCTAATGTACTAACTATGCAGGTGCTCACTGCTTTCCTGTAAAAGAGAAAGAAGGAAGGAAAGGGCAAAATAGTTCCCCAGCAGCTTGCGGGGGTCCGGAGCACCCCGACCCACACTGTGTGGACACGAGGTGTCAGCATCTGCCCTGGGAGAAGATCCCAGGGTGGAATTGCTTCTGGTGCTGCACATCCCTTGCTGAGGAGGAGGCCTCGGAGGGGATGCGCGTCTGTGTCTGTCTGTCTGTGCGTAGTACCCTACCTGAGGGGAGGAGAACTGTCAACTGTGTGTGGCTTCTCTGCCAGTTTTAGTTAGTGGTGTCTCACCCAAAATGTTATTCGTGTGATTTTTCCCATGTGAGCTTTTCCCAGCGGAGGAGCATCCCCGAGCGGGTGGCTCCAGGCTGTGCGTGTTGATGTGTTTCGCCCAGGGACCCCGGTGTCAGTCTGCAGTGCGACAGCAAGGCTAGGCTGGAGCCCTCGCCCCGATACGGGGGGAGAGGTTCGCTTGGCCTTACTGGTAGGCAGACCCGGTCTTACTCCATGTCAAACCGTCGTCACTTTGATTTCTCTGTAAGTTATCTGACTTATTTATGTGGAACTCTGTTTCTCTGAATTTTTTGCACTACACGGGATTGGGGAGGGGATACAAGCAATAGAAGCCAACATGTACAATAAAGACGTTTTCTTGAATACTGGATCCTGCCTCTTGCATCCTTCCTTTTCGCTTCTCGGGCCCTGCCTCTGTGGGCCACTTTGGGCTGGCTCTGCCGTTGTGGACATTAGTAGAGGAGGCCAGAGGAGCCAAAACCAGCTTTGAAGGAACTGCCATGCTACAGGTGAGCTAAAAGGAGCGGCTCTTAGCCCGGCTCCCGGCCCCGCGCTCGGCTGCGTGCCTGGCCGGGGAGGTTGCTGTCCTGCGGACAAGGTGCTTCGTATTCCCAGAGAGGGTGCTGTGCTGGGGCTGCCCGCTGCTCTATGCACCTTCACCCTACCCCAGAAGAAAGAGCAGCGCAAAGATGCTGATGGTATTGGAGACCGCTGGGAAAAGCCCAGCCCAAGGCATAGGGGCTTTAGAGGCAGACTGATTTACACCTCTCCCCGCCGTCAAATTCTAGTTCGGTCTCCCTAGGACTCCCAATCTCCAGCGCTGTTGACAGCTTTCCCTTGCCGTGGCAATGAAAACCAGATGAGAAACCTCCTCCTTTACCTCCAGCTGCCACATGCATCTTGCTGCCTGGGGGCAGGCGTCGCTGGTTGGCCCCACTGGGCAGTGGGGAGGCTGCGGAGCAGATCAGAGCTGCCTTCGCTAGCTGCTGCCTGTGGGGGAAATACTAAGCCCATTTCACGGTGGTGGGAGTGCAGGGGGTGAAAAGAGCAAGGAGAAGCTGCATGGCAATATCCCACGGGGCCCGAAAGGGAACTTTCCCATGCGTGTGTACTACAAGCCCTGCGGTTAAGCCGCGATGCTGTACGGTGGGCATCCCAGATTTGGGTATAGCCTTGCCGCGTCCTCTTTCTTGCTGCTCTCTAGGCTCTTGCTTCTGTTTCGGGCTTCTAGAAATAACTACCGTGCTGTAATAGTCTTTCCAAAGTCTGGAGCCTGCTTCCCCACCCAGTTCAGGCCCTCCTGGAAGCAGAGCAATGGGAGTCCGGGCGAGCAGTTTGCCCTGCGAGCACGCAAAGAGACGGAGCTGTCCTCGGCCACCGGTCACACTCAGCCCTGCCAGCCACGGTGGTGTCACTGGTGTCCCAGTGAGCCAGGTGATGCGCATTTGCAGGACCTGCAATAACAGCAGGAGAGAGGCAGTTGTTCCACTATTTTGAGCTGTTAAGTTTTTATTTAGAACAAACACGTTGGAGGAACGGCACATTTCTGGTCACAGTGCTGACCGTGTTAGCCATGGATCTTAGGAGGAATCATGCTTTTCCTGAATAAAACAGTTGTTGCTGTTCGCTGTAATTTTTGGTCTCTGCCAGGAGGTGCTGGGACGTGGCTTTGCTGTTGGATAGTTGTTTCACAGCTGTGCAGAGAGAACAGAGCTTGCAGAAGCACCCTGCCATAACAATTATGGTGTTTCTGATAGGGGCCCTCTGGAGGGGTGTCCTGTTGCTTTGCTCGGCCGTGAAGGGTTAATGGATTACATGACAGAAAGGGGAGGGGGATAAAGTGGCTGTTTTTAAAGGCCAAAGATGTGGAGGCCTTGGAGAAATTTCATGGCATGTCCATTATCAGCAGCTCTCTCTGGGCAAGTGTTGCCTGCCTGTACAATTACCTCTTTGGGGATATGTTGATTTTGTTACTGCAGGGAGACTTCAGTTCCAAGACAAGGCAGATGCAAATAGAGTCTAACACATCCAGTATGTCCCTAAGACCTCACATAGCAAATCCCAGTTTGATTCAAACAGGTTTTCTAGGAAAGCATCCTCTCCTGGTTTTAAAAATCCCTTGTTGAAGAAGCCATCACAGTCCTCTGGGAGTTGTTCCGGTAAGAAATAACCTTTCCTGTTAAAAATGTATGCCTTGTTCCTAGGTTGAACTTGTCCAGCTTCACTTTCTCTGTGCCTCTTCTCGTTATTTCTTTGCCAGCTGGTTGTCGCAGGCCTGTTCCCCATGCAGACGCTTCCAGCCTCGCTGCATTCCCGTAGGCTCTCTGCTACCGTAGCAAGATGGAGCTGCTGGACTGTCACTCGAAACAGTCTGGAGACAAAACCTGCTCCCTGGAGCAGCCGGCAGACACGCTCTTCCCAGAGAGCCGTCCCTGTTCCCAGTTGCTATTGACTCTCCCTGGCTGGCCAGTCTATAATAGATTTGTGGATCTTGCAGTCTTTGTAGTGTTTCAGAGTCTTACCAGAAAGTTGCGGAGATGTGTCACATCATGTGCTTCATAGTAATTTCTTAGATCAGCACTATTATTTATATTAACCAAATCTGTTTGTTTTTGTTTTTTTTTTCAAATGTGGTAGCAATTAAATTAGTTTGATGAGATCTAATTTCTATAACCCCACATCGATTTCTATTAATTATATTCTCCTCCTTTAATTCTTAAAGTTAATCAAACTCCCTAACAGCTGTCACATCATTTTCCTAGGAATTGGTGTCAACTGACAAACCCATAATCACCGGGATGGTCTTCTTTACCCATTGAAATATTGGTATTCCCATTAACTTATGCAATGTCTTTGCAAATTCCATGGTCCTGCAAGACTTACTGCAAATGAATAGCAGCGACCCAAGACCTTTGTTGTTCAGGTCTTGTAAAACGCTTGGATTTGAATTCTCTGGACCTGCTGATCCAGAGCATCTAAGTTTTGTGTTTGCTTTTTAACAGCCACCTGCAGTACCACGGAATGAAAAGGGATTTGTCATTTCCTGTGACTCTACTGCCTGGTTTCTTTTCAGTCCATAGAACAGAAATATTTATTCTGCGTGTACCTTTTGTATGAACTACTCACTATTATTAATTCTATTTCCACATAGTGAGGGACTCCTGCCGTGGTCGTGAATCTTTGGTTTGTCTCCCTTTAAAGCATTTCTTCTATAAATATCCCTTTAGTTTTGCTGGTCATACACATTTCCTTTTGCTCTTTGCTTCCTTTAACAATTTTCTGTAATTCCTAGATTTCAATATACACTAACCTTCCCCTGTTTATTTGTTATATTTTTATACTGTTTGTTTCTCTTCACCTCTAATCCAGGCTGGTTCTTTTTAACTAATACAACTGTTCGGAGTGCAGCCTTTTGAACACCTCGGAGACCGCTTAAACAATAATCACCGATATTATGTCTCTGCACCCTTTTTTCTTCCGGCTGAAGTGAACAGTGATCGATTTCCTTTCGGAAAAACGCTCCAGACACATTTATTAAGGGCTCTACCTTCGCCCTGTTTGCCGGTAAGAAACGTTAGCGTGCCGCGGTCGCTCGCTCCGTCTAAGCTGGGGGGTTTTGAATTCTGTTTAATTCGGGGAAAACGAGGTCCCAGACCGGATTCACCCACCTCGAGGGCACCGCTTAGGTTCTTCGAGAAATCCCCCAAGCTTGAAACGCTTCTCACCCGAAGAGGCAGAGAGAGAGGGGGTCTCGGGGGGGGGTGGGCAGGGACCCCCCCCATGGCTCGCAGGGGACCCTTGCCATGGGGGATGCCACTGTGCCCCCCCAGGCAGACCCCTGCCTGTCCCCCCGCTGCGGGAGGGGGGTTGCTTTTTGCCTCTTACCTGGCTCGCTCCTCCCAGCACCGCCACTGCCAGCCCCCCCCTTTCCCAAAACGTGGGCGGAGGAGAAGGGCAGGAGCAGGGAACCCCAGGCGAAAGCCTCCCACAGCCCACACCCACCCGAGTCCCGGCGGAAGGGGAGCGTCTGCCCGACACACACGCACGCACGGAGACACAAACCTCCCCGCTGCTTCCTTCCAGTCCTTGCCGGTATGGGGAACATAACTTGCGTTCCTCAGGCACCTGGGAGGCTCGGAGGTTCTTTCCGAAGGAAGCCTTCGCTGAAGAAAGAGTAAGTACGCTGGCTTTTACTTCGGACTGCTTTTCCAAGCGGTGCTGGCTTCCCCGCGGGTTTTTTTTCCTCCCGTGCGATGCACCACGCAGAATTGGGCTAGCGGCTGAGTCCCGCTCGGGAAAGCCGGGAGTTATTTACGTGCTCGGCAGAAACGGGCTTTTGCGTGGTTTCGCAGGGTGCCGGGCAGTGCCAAATGCGGTCGGCTCGCCACGAGTGCCTGGGCAGGAATTCTAGGGCTCTGCCGGTGGAATATCCCGACAGCACTGCCCCCAGGAGAAACGCCATTTATTTCATTTCACTTTGCAAATTAAAAACTCCCCTCTCTGAGACAGGCAGGGCAAGGTGCAGAACGCCTGACACTCCTTGTTTTCACTTGCGATTTTTTTTTATTCACGACACCCAGAGCTGCGGTGCTGTGGGGTGAAAAAACAACATTCACGCTCCTCTTACTTTAGAGAGAAAGCCCCAAATCCCGACATTCTGCCCGTACAATTTGACCTGTGCTTGTAATCCTGAAGAAAAACACAACAGCGAATGTCTGTGAAATCCTCCGGGAACTTTGGTGCTGGGCTGGCCAGGGCAGCATTCAGGTACCACAACGATGGACGGCTGTCCCAAAATAAAGTCTACCAGGGCGTGCAGGGCAAAATTCCCTGCACGCTGCCTTTCCCACTGCCGTGCTCCCATCAGCCCAGTCAAAGTGGTGCTGCTGGTCCCTAAGCACCCGTGAAGCAGAGCCCTCCCTGTCCTGAGCGCTCTGGGCTGGAAAGGAGCAATGTCGGGAACCAGGATGATTCCTGACGAACCTGCCGGCCCCATCTACGTCGGGTTCAGCGTACGTTCTGGGCTTTGAGACAAACCCCCTAAACTCCGTGAGGCTGAGGGGTTTCTAATCAAAAGGAGACACCGCAACCGTCCCCTCGGTCTCCTGTGCTGCTATAAATTGGGAGAAAACCCGTAGCAGTCTGTGGAGCTACTGTGGGGTAAAAGAGAGGGGATCAGTTGGGGAATTTGGAGCCCAGAGAGCTGACATGGCAGCGGAGCAGCCAAGCCCCAGAGCACCTCCTGTCCCCACTGACTCCCGGCTTCCCACGCTTTCCGTGGAGATAAGCCTGGTTTCTGCTCAACTAAACGCTGCAATCTGGTTGAAAGAGAGAGCGACTGCTGGGAAGTCCCAGCAAAGTGCTTCTTAAACAGCATTGGTAACTGCTCGTTAATGGTGTGCATGCAAGGAGAAGCCGGGGGCCTTGCTGGGAGTGGAAGGAAAGAGGGAGGAAAACCACAAAGATAGAAATAAAACCTGTTCGTGAATATATGTTGGTGTATGTGTACATACGCATCTCCACTCCAGGGGCTTTGGAGTAGTTGTCAGGACTGGATTTGGTCTTTGTATTTTGCAGTGGAACATCTGGTCCCTCTGCTGATTTGGATGAGCCTAGCTGATTGTTTGGTTATGCAAAGACATGTAAAAAAGCAAAGAAATGCCAACAAGTGCGGCACAAACCCCATTACAATTCTCCCAGGCGGTTTATCAGTCCTTTGCTGGGCTGGGATGATTAGAAAGCCCGTGACAAATTGCTTACTTAGCTTTCTGGCTTCCTTATTTCTGGGCAGAATTCGCTATGCATCAGCCTAGAACTGTGTTTGCATGTGTGTTTTGTTTTTTTCTCCCCTCTGTAGACAAAATGGAAAGAAAAAACTGCCCAGCTTTTTTGGTATAGAAGGCGGGCAGGAGAGAGATACGACCACAGACAAAATCCTGCAGTATATTCCAGGAAAGGCAAGTACAAACACATCCAACCCCCCTCCCCACTGCTCCCGGAGATTCTTCCCACCCACCCCAAGGACAGTGCTGTGCATAAGAGGGACGATGGGGCTGGATCTGGGGGTAGCAGCAGGTCTATCTCAAGGAGATGGAGGTCACGTCTGCTCCAGGGTCCCCATGCAGGTGTTGAGGGCACCTGCCATCAGCCAAAACGTGCGACGGGGTGGGAGGGTCGTGCTGAGAGCAAAGCAGGCAGCGTGGTGGGAATATCTCAACCCCCCCCCCCTTTTGCTCGTGGTTCTTTTGTTTCTGGGTAGCCTGTGGAGGAAGGGAAAATTAGAGCGAGCATTCAAAGGTAAGATGATTCATTCCCACGCTGGAATGAGACGGAGCAGGCAGTGTATTAGCAATAAGCCTTGGGAAGGTAATCAGGGAGGGCATGTCTGTCCCAGGCATGTACCAGCCTTGTGGCCATATGGCCCATTTCCCAGCACTGCTCAGGGAAAGCAGAGGTGAATCGATGAATCCCAGTACGTTTGCTCGGTCCCGTTGGGTGGGCCAGGGATGTGGACCGAGCTTCAGGGCCTGTTGGGCTGTACTGTGCATACAGCTCCACCGCTGCGTGGCAAATAGGCTCTGGGGATATAGGAGGGAAGGGGAAACTGAGGCAGGGGCTCACAGCTAGACAGAGGTTATTTCAGAGAAGGGCAGCAGCAGGACATATCTCTTCAGTTTCAAGCTGCTGGCTAGGTGTATTTCACTGGTGATGAGGTGCTTGTCAAGGGCTTGGTGTATTGCAGGACCCAGTTCTGAGCAGCCCTGCTCGTGTACTTTGGGTTGCTGCAGAGATTCGAATGTCTGCTCCCCACAAGCAGGCACCCTGCAGTCCCTTTCCATTCAGCTGCTCCCAGGTTGGCCCTTTCCAACCCAAAGGATCTTTGCTTTTCCTCATGTGAGCCTGAGAAGGGTGCAGGACAGGGATCCTACTCCTGGCTTGCGAGGTGGCCGTGGGTGAGTGCCGTCCTCTCTCGTGGGGAATGCGTCCTGAACTGTACAGGGGGGAAGCACAGCAGAACTGGGAATGTTTCACGGACCTGCCTGTTATTTGTGAGCGAGAGTAATGGGCATGTGGCACGGGCATGGTTCCCTGTGGGACTCAGCTGGCATCCAGAAGGGTTGGGCAGCACTTGACAGGACCAGGTCCTGGATGGATTCTGGATAATTCCCCTGGGGAAGCAGGGAGAGCTGTCATGTTAGCGGATCCTGGAAAATGAATCCTGCAAGCCGACAGAACAAAGGTCACCAGGAGATTATTCATTTGGGAGCACAAGAGAGTGTGGGATCTCTTCAGGGAAGGAAGGAGGGTGGAGCAGTTGTTTAGATGTTACCCTCGCCTGGGGCAGCTGGGATTCAAACACCCTGCTCAGCCACAAGCTTCTTGTGTGGCCTGGAGAAAGCCTTGGCTTAGTCCCTTTCCCACTCCCGTCTTTTTAGGACAAACACCTCCGAAAGCGGGAGGTGACCAGCTGCTGCGGGGACCAGACTGGAGAGGAGCCGTCAGCATGGGACTCTTCCGAGGCAATCTCAGAGGCGATGGGGTTGCCAAACCTCTGGCCATGGCAGGCAGTTTGGGACTGGGGCAAATGACATCCCCCAAAACCATCGCCCCGCTGGACCCTGCCATGGGTGGCTGGCACACAAAGCCGGAGCCTTTTGCTCCCACCAGCCTTCTGCCCCGTTTCCCGTACTTCCCAGTTACAGCTTCTGTGAAGCCTCAACAAAAGTGAGGGGGGAGGATGTGCCAGAAGAGTGGTGCTTCTCATTTGTTTCTTTTATCATTAAACAGCAGCTTTCGGAGCCCCAGGGCACCAGCCTTGCAAGGCTGAGCTTTTCCTGCTGCCAGGGTTAGTGATTCAGCTGGGAGTCACTGGGGTCTGCAGGGGCTGAGGCAGGTTAATAATTAACTTGCTCTACCTGTAGGATGAGGCATCCGAGACAAGAGGCAGAGAGCGAGAAAACATGTCAGGGCACTTGCACTGCCAGAGACCCGCTGCTTCACGAAATCCTGAGAGAAACCAGGTTTCCAGTGATCTGCACTGCCTCAAACCCAGCGGGATAGCTGAGCTAACGGGAACGGTGCTGGTCAGGATGGGGCTGGGGGAGGAGGAGGCTTGTCACCAGTACAACCCAGCCAGGGGAGTAAATAGCTGGCTGGGGAGGATTTCAGAGGAATGATAAATGCTAGTTCCCTTTCATTTTGGCTGCACCCTGAGGCATCGCCACGGTTTTGGGGGGGTGCGTGGGCCAGGGAGATGAGTGATGCTCGTGGAGGAGGCTGTGACAGCTCTGGTCCCCGACTCTCACAGGACATTGTGGGGTTCCCGGTGCCGTTTTTTGGGGGATGGCCAGATGCAGGCCATGCTGGTGGCTATAAACCTGCCTCAGAGAGGGCAGGGATGCACTCGTGGGTCTGAGCCCGGAGACATCTGAGATTCAGCAGGAGCTGTTTTTTCCAGAGCTTGTGTTTAGGCTAGTCCTCCGCATCCTGGGAAATTGCCGTTGTACCTAAGCAGATGATGAGGAGTTTATGGGAAGCACCGTCAACCTTACAAAGGGTTTTTGTTCTGAGTGAGAAAGCCTGAGCCAGCGCTAGTTAGCCTACTTCTCCAAGTGGGGGACAAAGAAACCACAGAAATTGCAGATGGACAAAACAGATGAGCTCATGCCCAGTCCCCCAGGCTCCCTCTGTAGCCAGGGCAGGATGGTTTCCGATGCCACCTCTGTGCCACCCAGCGTAAGCGACCTCGCAGAGAAAACCACCGAATTGGAGGTGGCAGCTGTGGCCGCTTTGTCTGCCCATGCCACCTGCGAGCCCGCTCGGCCGTGCCGTTGCCTGCACTCTGCCTGGGAACGGGGGTCTGATCCTGACCCATGGGTCTTCCCATGGGCTTCAGCTCCACGGCAGGAAAAATGGGGATTGTTTTTGTAACCATCTTGGACAGTATTGGAATGAAAAGCAGCAGGTAGGAGGTGGGCATCACTGCTGCCCCCGGTGCAGCACCAACAGGCTGTGCTTGCTTTTACCCAGGACTTGGGGTAGCTGTTGGATTTAAGGATGTCCAGCTCCCTGCTGCTGCTCTCCTGAGATGTGGGCAGGAACCTGTGGAAAGCTGTGAGGGCAGTTCTTGCACATAGGCATACTTTGTATTCATTTGGGGTTTAACAGTGGCCCCCCAGTGAAGGACATAACATTGCTAGGAAAAAAAACAGGTGAGACCTGCCTGGTAAAAAAAAAAAAAAAAAAAAGAAGACCTGAACAGTCCCAATTCTTCCTGCGAAACCACAATACCTGACCACAAGTAACAAGACTGCCGGGACTTGAAAGACTGGTGTGGCACGGGTGGACGGCGCCTGCTGTCATTTCAGTGACATGATCCCTTTTTGACCACGGTCTTGGAGATGCCACCACACTTAGCCACTAAATCTAGCTTTCTTCTCAGTCTTGCTGCAAAGCCTTGCAAGCTGGGGCTGCTAGATGCTTGTTTGGCAGAGGGAGGGATTCCGTTTAATTTGTTTCTTGCCACATGAACTAGTGGCAGCAGAAGCGCTCTCTTTCCCTCCTGATCCTGGGAGGATCCCTGTGGAAGCTGGCAGGTTGGCTGAGCTCTTTGCCAAAACTGCTGCTGGATTCACAGCTCCCACGTTGCTTTTGCTTCTTGGGGGCCTTCCTTATTACTGGGGAATTTGGCTGCCACGTTCCAGGCAGCAGCATCGCCCAGGCAGCTGGTAAGCTGGCGTTGCTGGCTTATCGCTCTGTCCGTAATTTCATTACTTTATCCTCTCCCCCCTCCCTGTTGCTGGTTGCTGCCCTTATCCGAGCGGTGTTTTGTTATTGCTGTCACAGCTGTCAGGTGATCAGTTGCTCTTTGTTCTGACAGCGGCTTGTAGCACAAATGTAATCTTTTCCTACGCTTAATTGCCTCTCAGTGAGACCATTAATTGGCAGGCAGCAGGTTCCCACCTCCAGGGGAGGACCTGGGTACGGGCTCACGGGTACTGCCTGGAGCCGGCTGGAAAAGCAGGAGGGAGACTTTGAGCAGAGAAGGGGTTAACTTACGTCCTAAAAAGAGTTACCTAAATCCAGTGAGGCCCTGGAAGGAACCCCAGGCTTTGCAGGTGAAAGGGTCCCGACGGCATTAGGTCCCCATTACTGGTTCCCCAGCTCCCCTCTGGCCCGATGTCCCCTGGCAGGGTTAGGAGAAGGGTTAATCTCATGCCGGAGGGGTGAGTCATGGAGGCCCCAGCAAAACAGATCTGGTTAGCTCTGCTGGCTCGTCATTTATCACGGGGCTTACGCAGCTGTCTCCTTGGCACGACGACCCGCGGGCAGCGGGCACACGCGGGCCAGACAAGTCGGGTCTGGCTGCTGGAAAGCCCTGACTGCGGGTTGACGGGCTGTCGCTCAATCCCCTGCTCGTTCCTGGAAATGCTGTTTGGACTGAAGCGTATGAGCCCCCGGGAGCCACGTGCCACCGCTATACCCTGCCTCCCAGCCCCTGCGTGGCCGTGGGAAGTGTCCCCAGCCAATGCGGCCACCAGTGCTCAGAGTGGGGTCCCAGCCAGGTGGGCTCACAGCCTGGCGACTGAGCAGCGGGGAAAACCTTGCGTGTCCCACCTACCTTTCTCTTTTGCTTGGGAATGAATACCTGGAGTCCGTGATGTGTCTCACAAAGCTGACATTTAAGGCTCAGATATGCAAGTGGGGGTGTAGACCTGGGGGGGAATCGGTGATGTCTGTGGCCTCGCTGAGATACAGCCCTTCCCTCCTCCCCAGGGGAATCGACCAACCCCCAGAAATAAAAATGTTCTTCCCAGAGAAACTGCAGGGAGAGCTTTTCCCCCCTGGGATTTATGCGGTGCCCAGACAGTGCAGCAGCAGCCCCGTGCTGCGAGCAGTGGGGTGCCACAGGGATGTGGGTTTGTGCCACTGCACAGAAGGAAGAATTTCCATCTAACCCAAATGCCGGAAAACTGGGAAGCCCGTAGCCCTGAGCGCTATCCCCCTCTCACATCAGCCCTTGCTCTCCCGCAGTGCTTGCTGGCTTCCCTCAGCTTTTTGCACTGACGATGAGCGGCTTCACGACTCAGTGCCTTGCAGTGCTTTTATGGCTGTGGGACTCTGCCTCAAAATTGTCTGGGCACCTGAAACAACAGACTGCACCTAGAGAAACCGAGGGATCTGAGCAGATGGGAGAGCTGAGGAATCCAGGTGGTACTAGAGCAAAGAAAACCTTTCCACTAACCCCAGTGGAAGGCAAGCTGTGTTTGCTTAGTCTGGATCGGTCCTTGTTCCGGTGAATTTGATTAGGATGGCAGGAGGTGGTCCGTGGAGTTGGGAGACCCTAAATGTAGGATGTGCTTCTGCAGCCCCTCTTTCCCAACCCGCAAAGCCTCCCTTTAGGTCAGCATCTCCTCCTGCCCAGGGAGGACAGCCTCCCGGCAGTAACTGAACCCCAGCTCCATGCTGGCATGGAGACCCACCAACAAACAGCCCGGCCCAGGCACCTGCCCTTTCTGAGGAAGCCGTTCTGGGAAGATGTTCTGTGAACATCTCTTCCAGACATCAGGCCCCCACCTTCCACTGCCTCTGATATGTTTTTCCTGAATCCTTGGTACAGAATATTCAGAACCAGGAAAACCAGAAAGAAAACTTGGACCAGAGGTTCCCCAGCCTGTTCAAGAAGGGACGAAGGAAAACAGTTGTCAGGAATCTGGGCAAAATGATCTATTACTCCAAGGTCAAGTTTAAGTTCCAGCACTGCCAGGTAAGCTGTGGCACCTGATTGTGGGTGTTTCTCTTCTCAGGTGCAGAGTGACCCTGTAGGACTGGGAAGTAAAGAGTAATTCTGAGAAATGTGACACATGGAGACTTCCTTGGGCTACTGCGTGGCCTGGGGACTTCTGCTGCCACATGGGGCATGGGTACCGGCTGGCACCCACCGGCTCCCATCCCAGTGGAGACCTGGGCTGTGCTTCCACGCTCAGCTGCTGGGCTGGCAGCAGATCCACCAGCAGAGATGTGGTGGTGGCCCTTGGATAAGCGACCGCTGGCTTCTCTGTGCACAGACCTGTCTGAGATGCAGAGTGAAACTGGGAGGAGGAAGGCGTCCTGAGATAAACCCCAAAATGTGTCTTTTCTGCAGGAGGTGAATGACTGCTTCTTGGAGCTGTTCCAGTCTTACCTGTACTTCCAGTCTATGGGCTCCAACGGACTCACCTACCAGGTAGGGCATCAGCCGGACACGCCGGGGAAAGCACTGGGGAGTTGGGCAGTATGGCCAAACTGGGGGCACTGGGCAGATGGGATGCAACAAGGGAGGGGGCTCTGCTCCTAGGGCTGCTGTTGACCTCCTCTAGGTAGTCTCAGCAAGTCGCTTCCCGTGGATGCCAGGCTCCTGGGGGAAGAGAGCGTTTCTTCCTAAGGACTGTACCCAGACAACCTCAGTTTCACCTGGGTCCTTGGCCTTGCCTGTGGGCAGAGATAAAGGACCCCATAGAGGTGGGATAGGGACTTGTGCAGGGCTGGCAGGTGGGACTAGGGATGGGAGGTGTTTCGGCTACCTGGACTTATCTTTGTGTAGAGTGCCAAGCACAGAGAGCTGTGCCTCGGCAAGGGTCAGAGCTCCTATTCCTCAAAATCCCACTGGCCTCAGCCCTGGCTTCTGAACCAAGGGGGAGTTCTTCATCTGCAGGGCAGAGAAAGAGGCACGTGGGAGAGGGTGGAAAGAAAAAACTGAGGGAAGCCTTGGGGAGCTATCCCGGCAAACCATGAAACTTTTTAACCTGACGATGCTGGTGAATTACAGACAATAGGCTGTTTTTGTACATGCAGCCAAAAAATCACAACCGAACAAACGGGAAGCCCTGAATATGGTCTCCCTCCGCACGAGAGAGGAACTAAAACTGAGCATGGCTGTTTTGTAAAAGTTTGTAAAATTCGTTCCTTTTAGAAAAGATTTATTGTCTTCTAGGTGACTTGAGGTTAATGCAATATGCCAATACAATCTCTCGAGTCATGCAGCAAGCCAGCCTTCAACTGAAAAGACACGTCAGAATACAAACAATATTACAAAATCTCCCATTTACTTTATAAACAGCTCCTTAGTTTATTAATTTTAGAGGAATTAAAAAGGAATTAATGTGCCAGTACTGGTCCCTAGACATTACAGCAATTAGCATCTTTTCAAGTCCTTGTTCAGAAAGCCCAAGACAGGGAGCACAAACTTGTCACCTGTTCCTGTGCTTCGTTATGGTGGGACTCTGAAGAACTGGAGTATAGAAACTGGACAGCTCGATTTTGCTTTATGGTCATTTTCATCTTCTGGCTTTCTTGTGTTAAATCAGCATTGTTTTGCTGAGGTTTCTCTTAAAGCTGAAAGACTTGGACTACAAAGAAATTTCTTGCGAGCTTGGCAGACAATTGCTGTAGTAGTGGCCCCACGGTGCCCAGGGAACTGCTGAACCTGCTTCCTCTGGGAAGCGTGCTGGATCGAAGTCCCAAATGTTTCGCCTCAGAGCAGCATTTTCAAGTCTAACACTGTGAGCCATGAGTCTTCTTCCAGTCTCCTACAGCAAAGGGTCATTAATTGCAGAGCCTGCCTGCAGGCTGCCCCCCAAAATAATGGTGTGTTCTTCTTATGCAGGGACTGCTGCCTTTAAAAGAGCTGAATGTGTGTGAAATTGAGAACGGGAAGAGCACTGGGCAGGAGGAGCACGCTTTCCGCATTGCAGGTTGGTGCCTCTTCGTTTGCTTTGAGCAGAGAACAGAGGGTGTATGAATCACGACTGTCTCTGCTCTTTGTCCTGCTCTGACCCAGTCCCAGACAAGAACCACATTGTGGAAGGAGGTTGCAGGGAACTGAAGCTTTTCCTCCCAGCATTTGTATCTTTTCCTCCGAGGCTTCTCTGCTCCTAAACACCTGGACAGCGATGCCCAGGGCTGCAGGCAGGGAAGGGACTGGGTAGGGAGTGCAGAGGAAGGATGGTCCTGTGCTCCAGCTGGTTAATACTCAGGACACACAGTGACAGTTCCCACTTCTGCCCAGTCATTTGCTCTTTGTGCACCACATTTGAACGAAGGAATGGGATAAAACCCCTTCTCCCACTTCTTGTTCCCATATAAACCCCGAAGCCAGGGAGTGGCTCCGAGCAGGCACGCGTGCAGCGCTGTGCGTGCTGATGTACGGCACTGCTCAAGTAGACAGGATGGGCAACAGTGCCGAGAGGTGAGTTGCCTCCTCCAGTAATGCCAGGCTGGTGCTATCAGGACCCAATGTCACTTTACCAACTCGTCCCTCACCAGCACTCCTGCCTCCACGAGCTTTTTAACCTTTTCTCTGAGGGATCTTGCTTTATAAAAGTTTTCCTGGGATAACAACCTGTCTGCAGCTTGGCTGGAGGCTTCTTTGGGCTTAGTCATTGCTGAATTACAGCAGTCGCAAGCCCCCAGGAGTAGCAGTTAAAGTATTGAAGTACACAGAATTAAGTAAATAACCCAGTAATGATACAGAGCCAAGAAAGCTTATTTGTGTCCTAGGCCCACTGTCTATGTACTCTGGTTTCCTCTGTTAGAGAGAAAGTTATACAATGGTCACTCAAATGAAAAAATTACATAAATTGTAGAAAGGAGCTGGTACAAATGACCCATTAATTTTAAGGACTGCTGAGTTGTGGTCTTGTTACACTGTAGGCAGGGCTCTCCAACCCTTTTTGGGAGTCTGTAAAATAAAAGAAAACTTCTCCCAGGCACAGCCTGTCAGGGGTGCCTGCACTGGGGTGGGTGGACTTGTTCTGCTTGTATGAAAACACGTAGGAGCGTCGCTGGGTGGAAAATTGCCTCAAGCTTTTTGGGTTTGTGTCCCGGTTAGGGAAAGAACAGACCAAAGCCTTTCTGACGGAGAGTGCTGTATATATCGGGAAGCAGTGACACGAAGAAACCAGGGATGTAGCGATATTTAGGATTGCCGAGAGATCAGTGGAGCAGTTTTATTTTTCTGCTAGAGGGGGAGAAATCCAGGCACAGAGGGGATAAGAGCCTTGTCCGAGGCCCCACACAGGGTCAGGGTGGAAGTCTTTCGTCTTGTGACTCTGAAACACAAAAAGACACACATCCATTCTCTTGTGAAATCCTGTGGCCTCAGTAGTTCCCCATGAACTCTACTTTCTAGGGTAGTTCAGTACGTCAGAAGATGCCGGCGCGATCATTGGAGATGTGGAGGCGAAGCATGAGAAGGAAGGCCGGCAGCGTGTAAAGCCGTCCCTTGGTGCACTGGCACGGACAAGTGGACGGCGGCTGTTCTGTCACCTTGGCTTTGCGGTCCATCTCTTGCACAGCCCCTGATGCTGATGGAGTTGTTGAGCACCTTGAGCTAGCTCTGCCTCACCTCCAAAATGTGGCAGCTTTTTAGTGTCTCCTGACAGAGATTTGGGTGGGAAAAAAAACTGCTGCTGCTCCAGGAAGGGGCTTTCTTGCTTCCAATGTTGCTCTGGAAGCATTCGCAAGGAAAGAGGAAGGACAGGGAGGAAGAAAACAGCACAAAGGCCGGCACAGGTTGCTCAGCGTGGCTGTGTCATGGCCCTGCCGCAAACGTGCCCTGGGGGCTGAGGGAAATGGCAGCAACTGAATTAGCAGCAGCCTTTCAGGCTCTGCTTCACAGCCTCCCCAGCAGCTCCTTGCACGAGCTTCAGGCATGTCTCAGGCTTCAGGCTTAGGCAGGAGTCTCTTTTCTCATTTTCTCTTCCTTCGGGGCCCTGGTTAGTTGTGGCAACGCGAACAACCCTCAGGATACATCCGAAAGGCTGGCCTTAGAGGAGGTGGCAGGGCAAGCAGTGCCATGTTAAGGGTCGTGCCCTACCAGCAAAATTCCTGCTGTTTGTAGAAGGGCCTGGATGCCCAGAGAAGTATTCAGAGCTGCCAGAATATCTAGGTAATGCTAGTACCTTTATACCCTCCCAGCAGCTCTATAAAGTAAGGAATCACTTTACCTCCATTGCAAAGACAGGGGAACCAAGGCAAGAGGAGACGAGAGAACTCCAGAGCTACAATGGTACATAGACACTTAGATGGCCAGTAATGCTTGACACGTAATTACCGTAATGGATCAGAAAGGAGTGACTTATGGGAAGTCACTCAGGGAGTCTCTGCCTCAGTTTCCCCACCTCTGCTTTGTATTGCTGCATTTCCTGGCAGGCAGAGGTGTTTCAAAGTCTTAATTGACTGTTGTTCTTAAATAATGCAGGAATTATGGGATAAAAGACTCCACAGAAGGGCAAAGTATCATGCTTATCCAGTGCACTTGCTTATCTGAATACTTCCAAGTCCCGCAAAGCCAGATCTTACTGAGCATGCACCAAATATGGCTTAATATGAGATCACTGGTAAATTATTAATCATAACATGCCTTCTGCAGCCTGCCAGAAATTATTATTAACGTCACTAGGTTGTCTGCAGTGAGTAGCAAGAGGGTGTGTGAGACTTTTTTGTTCACGCTACTAAGCGAATGATAGCTGGAAACATTAAAATCAACAAGATACAGGGCTGTTCCTCCCTTCAAGAGTATGTCTGAGAGCAGTTTCAGCTTGTCTGACACAGATTATATTTGACGAAGCAATAAATAAACAGTGTCAGAAAGCTACCGGTTCTACGTATAGAATGCCGAAGTGAAACTAAGAAACAGCATGAAACTTTTGCGTTGAGTTAGGCTGTCTGCAGCAGCACCTTGTGATAGCCTCCGCCGGCAGAGATGCTTTTCACGAACTATTGGTGACTTTTAAAGCTGAAATCTGTCTATTGACTTCAAGCCTGACTTTTGTACTGCCTTTGATTTTTGTTCTTGGCCTGGTTTTGGCCTGAAAAGTGGCTGACAGTCAGAGCTAGATGTGGCTGCATGAGGTGAGCTGATGTGAGGCAACGTGCTCAAGGCGGTGGCAGGAACACTGGAGCGTGATGACAGCAGAGCAATGCACTCGCAGGCGACCGACCCGTGGTGTGATGTGCTGAGCATAACAGCTCTGGCCAGCCGATTACTTATTGGTGCTGCAATTGGTGCCCTTATCTGCTCAGCTCATCTTGTGTCTCGCATACCTAGGTCCTCTGCTGAATCCCCTTATCGTGTTCTGCCCTACTGAGTCAGAGCTGAAGCAGTGGCTTTATCACCTGGAGAAACAGATCCAGCTGAACGGAGGAAGCCTTGACTTGCCCTTCCTCTCTCAGGTTGGTGTCTTGGGACGGTGAGGTGCGCGGCCGTTTCCCATGCCGTGGGCTCAGAGCCGAATGACTGGGGAAGCTGGGCTGGTTGGGTGGATGCTGCACTGCTCCCGCTGCGTTCAGTAGGAGGGATAATCTCTGCAGCCAGGCTCTCTCGGCCGTTTTCACCACACTTCTAGGCACTCACCGAACATCTTCCTCTTCCAGAATCCTGAGTGCCCCATGGGGCTCTGGGCACCTCCTCCGGGCTGGAGAGCTTGAGCAGAGGGCTGGGGATGGAAGGGTAGAGGGGCTCCGGGTCCAATTCCAGATGCTCCTTGCTGTGCTTGCTGCTCTTTCAAAACATTGGAAGGAGATGTGGGGTTAACTCCTGGCCTAATCCCCTTTTTCCAGGCCGGCTGCTTGAGCGCTTCGCTAAATCAGTCAAGGAGCTGCCCCCCTGGCATGGCGCGCAGGGGTTTCGGTGCCACTTGTACCACTTCCAGCAGCTGCCGGGGCTGTGCGTGGTCTGTAATTCAGCCTTTCTGATGCCTGGGAATTGACCCCTCTCCGCCAGCAGCGTGTACCAGCCTTGCCAGAGCGCTGGCCTGGGCCAGGGCAACAGCGTGGCAAGGGCTTCTGTGTGACCTGCCTGTTTGCCAGTGCCTAGAGCTGACCCTGGGCAATACGCCTCAAAGCTCTCGATTCCTTTAGTTATTCCACCACCCCTAAAATAACCATGGATAGACATGCTAATTACTCACGCTCGACAGACATGTTCTTGCTTGGGAACTCCTCTGCCTACGTGTATTTGTGTTCAGATGGCCTTAGGGTCTTGGGTCTGTGCAACCAGCGCCGGAGCGAGTGTGGGATTTCAGTCTGAATGGCAACCCCAAAGGTGCTGTACTGCTGAGACCTGACAACAGCTTGCTGCGTTTCTGCCGCGTGTGTGCATGCACACAGCTTCTGATTTTGGAGCTTGCCTTTTGTGCAGTCTCCTGCGAGGGAAGGGTGCAAAAAGAAAAGGCTTTGCAAGAGAGCCTGGCAGGGCGTGTGTGCCGAAAGGGAGACCTGTGACCCAGAGGTGCCACCACCACAGCCTCTGAAGGGTCAGAGGTTTGGGTCTGGTTCAGAGAAATTCTCACACAGTTGCCTGCTTGTGCAATTATCTAGAGTTTACAAAACATTTGGAGGCGGAGACTGGGACTGGAGCCTAGAAAACAGGACCAGATTCAAGAGACCTGCCTTCTCTTCCAGTCTCTGCGGGCTGTTTTACTTCCCTCCCTGTCTCCATGTCCCCACTTGTAAAACAGAGGTATTCCCCTTTGAAAGGCAATGTACAGGTGATGCTAGGTAGCAAGTATGATTATTCAGTCCCAGCTGGAAAACTGGCTCCTGCACAGATTTATTTACTCTTTCCTGCTTCTGCCACACTTGAAAAGTGTCCTTAGACGGGCCCTGTGCTAGCTAAACTCTTAGGGGAGGACATGGCTACCCTGCTTCTCATTTCTGCTCCTGTCCCTAGAATGACTGGAAGCAGAGCTCCATGGGGAAGGAGGAGCTGCGGTGGTCCGTGCAGAACATGCCCGTCCAGGAGTGGCGAGGGACCCAGCGGGAATCCCTAGGCGATGTCCTCTGTGTTTCCAAAGTGAAGCTTCAGCATCTGCCTTTCCAGGTAGGACACATCTCTGGGGAGCGACCTCCTGCCAGCACGGCTCAGAAACGGCAACGGATGCAGTGACTAGGCGCAGACTCCTGCCCACCTGCTGCCTTAATCCAATGGGTCCCTGAAGGGGCATTTTACCCACATCCCGGTAAACGGGATAAGGTTTGTTACTGCTCCTGTGGCCCAGCAGTTGGTGCCTGGGGACAGCACGTGCGTAACCAGTTGCAGGACAGGGCTGGCAGCTGGAGCTGGCAGGAATCTCCCGTGGAGCCCTGTCGCAGGGAAGCAGCTCGGCTGTTTCCAGAGCCCTTGCCTCAGGCTGCTGTCAGAGAGACAAAGTAAAGGGCTCTCCAGATCTGAGCCCTGTCTGGCTGCTCACAGGGAACCCTCTCCCTCTTTACTTTCCAAGGAGCAGCATGACCGGCTGTTAGTGCTTTACCCGTCCACGCTGGTGATAGTATCTGAAGAGCGCAACAGCCTCTGTTTTAAGGTAAGTTCATTTTTGGAGCACCTTCCCGCTCTCTTTTACCCATCCACAGCGGCTATTTCGGCACTTCTTTGGCTCGTCGCTCCCTTCCACCTGGGTTCCCTTGTGCTCCTCGTGTTGGCAAGGGCTTTCCCTCCACGCTGCTCCCTTGCCAGCTGGCAGGTGAGCCGGCAGAGGGATGTTGCAAACTATCTTCCCATGAGAAACACCTTGCCCTCCTACAAAAGCCCCGGGGGCAGAGGAGCTGGCTGCCAAGGAATCTCAGTCTCTGGGAGGAGGGAGGCTGGCATGTTTCTGTGTGGGTAGGCTGGCAGAGAGCCTGGCTCGCTTGCTTGAGACGGGAGCTGGAACGGCCCCAGAGAGTGGCCCTGCGGGGGCTTTTCTTCCCAAGCCCCTCTCTGTGGGACCACTTGGAAGCAGGTAGCATCCCGGCAGCGCATCGGATGCTGGTGGGGAAGGGCAAAAGCAGTGAGTTGGCTGGCGGGCAGAGAGGAGAGGCCGCTGCCGGCGCGCGGCGTTTGCTGCTCTTTCCCTCTGTGGAACAAGGGCCCTGAGCGATGTCTGGGCATGCCAGCGGAAGGGCCGACAGGGATGTGGAGGCTTGAGTGCCCTGGGGGATGCGAGACGAGCTTCTCTAGTCCACTGGTGTGTCTTTGCTTGTAGGAGCAGTGCTGGGAGCCTCAGCACAGACGGGCATTCGCGTTGCCTGCGGGCTGAGTGGCCCTTAAACTTGATTGCCAACATCCATCTTAGACATCATGGTGATGGCTATTAGACAGCCCCGTGCTTTCTGGCCCCGTTTGCCCCGTGCTAGAACTAATGTGCCAAAAAGAGCGCTGAACTGTCCGTGAACCTGCACGTGCAGCACCACCGAGCAGAGCTGAGCTGCTCCTTCAGAGGAGCAGCATCCTTCTCCGTCACTGAGAGAGGAGTCGGTGGCAAGGAAACCCGGCAGAGATTGAGGGCTTGTGAAATTCAGTGTGAGCTCACTGGAGTCCTTCTTCACATGATTTCACCGTGTCCACATCAGGCCTCAAGCCACGCGGGCTGCTTTTAATTCAAGGGCTACCCCTGGGAAGATGCATAGAGCATCTCCCCAGCCGGAGGAGATGGCTGTGCCTGCAATGGGAAGGGGTGTGAGGAGGGACATATGCCAGTCAGAGCTCTCCTCCATCCCCAGTGCAAGAGGGGAGGGTGTTTTCCAGCAGCTGGTGGCTTGTGTGACACACCTCAGACAGAGCTTGTTTTCGGGAACATGTTGTTAGCAGCTTCTGGGAATGGGGCACCATGTAAGGGGACCTTGGGCTGGGCTCTCAGATTAACTCATCTCTTTTGAAACCTTAAACCAGATTTGTCTGCCCTGTCCGTGCAATCTTCCCTTCCCACGGTGCATGAGCCGTGGTCCCTGGGCGTCTCACTCGCTGGGGTAATGGCAGGGCTCTGCGCAGCAGAGCGCGGGCAGGAGGTGATTCACCAGCCTGTGACACTGCGGTGGGAACCTGATTTTCCACAGGCATGTCAGGGCACAGGAGCCTTCTCCGAGGGCTTCTGCAAATTAACTTCCCTTCCCTGCGAGCAGACACCGAGCTCTACAATTTGTGTGTGAAGGAATAGCCCGGCCCTTTTGTTCTTCAGTTTCATGCAAACCACAGGAGCTGCCGCTGCCAAATTTGTGTGTGGGACAGGGAAGCGGAAGGCAGGGGCCGAGCCTGCCGGGATGGGGCTCACCCAAAGCAGCAGGCTCTGGCTCACCGCTGGTGGGAAAAAGCCCTGGGCGAGGTAGAAATAGCAAGGGGGGAGCTGCTGGAGGCGGGGGGCAGGTTCACGCCGTGCCTGGGGAAGGCTGGAGGGGCTTTCTGCAGCCAACGTGCATGTTATTTGTGGGATGCTGCTGCGCTTCCCTAGATGGGACTCGAGCCCCCGGGTGTTTCAGCCCCCTCCCCTGGACAGGAGGCTGTTGCCGAATCTTGTGGGGGAAGCCCTACACCATGGTCCTCGGCGTCACCGGCCCCTTCCATGCACAGCCTTGCAGCACCCGCGCCAGCTGAAGCGTCCAAGTCCGTTTCTTACGGCGATAGGGGAAAACAAGTGACGGAGCGTCGCGTGAGCTTTCCCTCCCAAAGTCAGCTTTTCCCGTACTGTTCAGCCCATACATCGCTTTTGGTGCAGGAGAAATACCACAGAAGCCTGCGTGTGCCCACAGGCTATTGCAGAGAGGCAGCTGGCCAGCAAAAAGCACGGACGCCCTGTTGAGTTCCATGTTTCCCTTGTGGCAAAGCTGTCACGTCGGCCACATTCCCCAGAGCCCATGCAGCTGGGACAGCTTTGCAGTGAGGACGTGATGAGGAGTTTCTGCTAAACACCTTATTTTGCAGCCCGTAACCTTAGGCAGATGAATCCTGACCGATTGCACCTTTTGAGAGGACCTTCGGCTAAATGACAGGGCTTTGCTCCTGCTTTCTGTGTTTCCTCCTCTGCCTGGCATGGGGGAGAGTGGCGTGAGGTGGGAATTTCATCTCCTGAGCTCTTCCCAGACCCTGTGTTTGCCATCCTGGCCAGGAGCTGCTCCCAGGGCCATTGCCACCAGCTTCCCCTGCCTAGTGCTCCGTGCCTACAGACAGGGTTAGGGTGACATCCAGCTGAGGTGAACAGGGGCTTAAGGAACAAAGGAACTATGTGTCACTTGGTTTCCCCCTGCTCAGAGAATGAGAGAGAGGAGAAATAAAGCAATGAGCTCATCTCATGGAACCTGTGAGACGGTTCCAGTGTAAAATCTGCTTCAGCTGCTCTCCCAGGACTCTTCTTCTTCCATTTCTGTAAGGAAAATTCACCTCGGGGAGCCCCAAAGAAAGAGGAGACCTACATCCTAATTTAGTGTTGACAAACCCTTGGCCCTTCTGCCAGGTTGCCTATCCCAGAGAATGAAAGTGTCAGTGATGACACTTAAAGGACATCTGGCAGCAGAGCAGAAGAGCAGAAGAGGTCTGGGACAGGCAGTCCTGTTCTGCTTGTCCCACAGAGCTCACATGAGAACTGGGGCTGGCACAGACCAATGCCCGTGGCAAATGTTGGAATGGCCAAGGGACACGGGGTGACAGCAAAGAGGACACGGGTGGATGTGCATGCAAAAGTACTATTGCGCTTAGGGGCAATAGCACATGGTATCTTCTAAGTCCAGTTTTTGCAGGGACAGGCTGCTTTAGGTTCTCTGCCTCAGCTCCCTGCTAATAGGAACATACATGCAGTGCCTGCCAGGGGCAAACCCCACTCCGATCACAGGAGTGGCATTCACAACTGGGCCGTATAGCACGAGAGCTCACGTTTCACCAGCTGGCATTTACAGGGCTCAAGCCTGTCTTTGTAAGGCTTTGCAGGGTATGGATGGTGGGAATTCCTGTTTGCAAGGCTGGAAGTCCCAGTCCAGCAACTAAAACCTTATTCAGAATCATGTTTGCAAAGTTTTCTGGAGAAGTCAGCCATTAAACTATGGGAAACTGTCGAAAACAGAACTAGAAGGGAAGGAGTGTTTTTCCAAGCTCAGATCTCCGGAAGGACTTTGTAAGCACAAAGCTTACAGAAACGGCTCATGCAGTCACGCTGGCTTCAGAGGCTTTGTTCCTGCAATAAGGCTGGTGGTGGGACAGCGAGCTGTGAGCAGGGAAGGACAACGCTGAGTCAATCTGCTGGAGACAGAGTTCTCCAGTACACCTATAAGAGTAGAGAGGTACCCAAGTCCTCGCCCAGATAAGCAGCAGCCTGGGTGCCTCTCATCTCCTGCAGACCCGGCTTAGGCAATTTAGGCTCTGAGCTCCCCCTTCCTCCTCCCCTTCCCCACAGGAGACCCTCATGGGATTGCCAGTGGGGTCAAGCTGTGCTTTCTCCCCACGCTGCATGAAGAGCAGCCAAGCTCCTGCCAGCCTTGCCCTATACTCACCAGGGGCCCTGCGCTGCGGGCTCCCCTCCTCACGCTCCCAGCTAAGGTGGCAAAACTTTGCAGTAGGCTCCTAAAGCCTCTTGGCTTCCTTGATGGGAAAGCCCCTGTGGAAGCGGAGTTTCGCCGGCCGGGTGCCTGCAGATGCTCCAACCCTCAAGCGGGCAGGGGCAGCCACGTTGTCCTCACCGCTCCACATGTCTGCGCTCAGCGGCACGGTCCTCAGCCTTCTTCTTTCTCCAACAGGGTGAGCTGCCACTCAACGCCATCCAAGTGCTTTTTGAAGAGAACGAGAAAACCTCCTTTTTAATAGAAGGTGCGTGTCCAATGTGCCGGGGGGTGCGCTGGCAGCAGGCATGGAGGTCTCTGGGGTTGGGCTGGTTTTGCTAAGCTGCTGTGGTTATCTTCCTGGCTGTGCTCGCTCACGTCGGCACCCAAGCTCTGTGAACTGAACTGCTTGGAAATCTCGGACCGCCCGTGCCCTGGCTGCAGGGCTTTGCTAGCTGGGAGAGGCTGGGAGCCAGCAGCAGCGCTTGTCGCAGCGTTCCCCCTCGTTTAGATCTGGGCTGTGATTGCCCCTGTTCTACGTTCAGCCAGGTGCAAATGGTCAGCACCGAAGGCAGAGCATTCCCGTTGTCCCTGCGCTGGTGTCGGGGTCTTCAGATCCCGGGAGAACGTGGGGAGGGATGGAGAAAGGGGATTCCCATGGGTTTCTGAAGGAAGCAACATGGACCGTCGCTCAAACACAGTAACAGCAGCGAGTGATGTTTTTACAGGTCGACTAATCAATTCGATCCGGGTGATCTGCCGCAGCTATGATGATTACCAGGAGTGGCTCTACTGTCTCAAAACAGCCCAGTTTCGAAATGCCGACTCCTCCCTCTCCGGATCAGAGAGTTTCTCGGGATCAAAGCTGCCACACCCTGGCCAGGTAACAGATATTGTAGGTTTGCATGGTCATCAATAGATGTCTCCCAGGAATCCCGTCTGTCCTATCTCTGGCCACGTGTCAGTACTCCTGTGACGCAGCAGCCTTCAAGTCCCCTGCTGGAAGGCTGTCGTGAAGTCGCTGATCCCCGCAAATTATTTCGAAGCCCTATATTCCATTACGTAGGCATTTATTGCATTAAATTCCTTCAAAAGCAGGCCCCCGGTCACAGATTGTGACAGTGTTGTGCAGTGAGGCATCGGCACAAGGATGTTAGCAGGGACTTGCGAGGACGGGGAGACCACCCCTGCCAGCGCCGCAGCCAGGATGGGGTCAGGGCGGGATGCGCCTGCGGCCACGCGGAGGGCTGTTCCCACGCACTGTTCTTCTCCCCATCTAGTTTGCCGGCAGCGGGAGAGGGTCACTCACTTCTGACGGCCGTACAAACTCCTGGGCGTCGGGAGGGAGAGTGGCCACCTTAACGCACCTCTCCCAGACCAGTGGCTCTCTCCCCGACGGACAATCCTTCCTGCTGATGCCCGAGAGCAGGGTGCTCGAAGACCCCCTCTCCCCTGGCTATTCCCAGCCTCTCCATGTAAGTGAACCCCCAAAAGCCTGGGACGCATGTGGGGACAGATGCTGCCTTTGAGTGGAGCGATCTATCCGGGTGCCCTGATGGGCTGAGCTCGGGTGGTCGGTGTTTGCTATGCGGCATAGCAAATCCTTGCCCGGAGCCTGTATTTGCCCCGGCTCAGCTTTGTCATTGCTGATAAGGGAAAAAAAGTCTGCCGAAGAGTCCCAGCCCAATACTCCGCTCTGCCTCAGGATTGTTGGGACGGATTGCAAAAGGGCAAAATGGCACTGTTCAAAGGTCAGGAAATCCCAAAGTAAAAGCCCTGGGGCTGGGTGGAGGTGATGGGTTAGGCAAGCCTTTGCTCTGACCCCGCACGGCATTTGTACGTCCAGGGGTGCGTGCATGCCCGGAGAGCAGCACGTGGGGCACGGGAAGGGCTGCAGGACCGCGCCGATGCCCAAGCGCGGCGCGATGCCCGCGGCAGCGGCTCTAGCAGGGGGCTGCCTCGCGTCGGCTGCAGGTGGGTCTGCGTACCTGGGGCTGGCCCGAGGAGAACCAGCTCCGGGGTCTGTCTCTTCTTGTTTCAGTCCCTGGCACAGACCAACTGGCCAAGCACCGGGCTGCCCGCGCAGGACCTGCGGAGGGGGGGCAGCGCCAGAAAGTCCAAGGGCAAATGTGGGCCGTGTGGCCAGCAGCCGCCCAGCCAGGACACGGAGAGGACCGTCTGCAGCCTCATTCCCGAAAACCCCAACGGCGAGCTCCTGTCCCCGGTGTACAACGAGCCGTACTCCCCGCACGGCTCGCGGCGTCGCCCGCCGGCTCCCCTGCCGCACCTGGACCTGAGCAACGTAAGGAGGGCTGGGATGCGCTGGGGCTGCCCTCCTGCCTGGGAAGGGTCGAGCAGCGGAGGAACCGGTGTACGGTTCGCCTTTTCCTTATGGTGCTACTTGCGGGGATAGCTGTCCTGGCAGGTGCTGTAGGGCGGGCGTTGAAAGCCATTTCCATTTGAAAATGGCCCACGGGAGGCGAGGTTAAACACGGCAAATGGAGCAACGTCCCTTGGAGCCCTGAGATGCTGGGCACTAATTCCTGAGGCAACACGAGCACCGGTGCTCTGCAAGTAGGAGTGTTATTACTTCATAGGACACAACCTCTTCTTCTGAGGGCTTTCCAGCATGTGTCCATCGATGGTTTAGCGCGTGATGCCATATTTCCCTCCCCTCGATGAGTGTGCATCTGCCTTAGTCCCAGGGAAATCCCCTTGTTAGCACAGACGGGAGTCAGCCCCGCCATCCCTCAGGGCTGAGCAGCGTTTGGGACTTGAATTGCAGGGAGATTCCCCGCTCCGATCCCTCCTGGGATGAATCGCAAGCAGGGAATGGCACGCCATGTTCCCGTTTCGGTTCTGCCTTCTAGCTGAACAGATGGAGCTTGGTGGGAAGTCAACCCTCGACAGCTTCCAGCTCCCTGGAGAAGCCGGCCGTGCCCCGCTCCCCCCTGTACGCTGACCCCTATACGCCCAGCTCTCCCAGTGCCCGCAGCGTGGCAGGCTCCAGCATCCTGGAAGAGGTACCCTGCGCCTTCGCTGCTGGTTACGGCCCTGACTCAGCGCGCAGGCTGTTGGCTCCAGAAATCGTGCCTCGGGCCGTTTCTTTTCCTGCTGTCTGCCTCAGCAGGATGTGGAAACGTGAGGCCTCCATTTCGGGGTGGGACAGGGCACAGCATAGTTCTCTGTTTTTTCAAGTCAGGACAGAGTCAGAGGACAACAGGTTTCCCCTGGCTTATCACTGGATGCCAGCGTCGCAGCAATCCCAGGAAGAGCCAGAAACTGCAAAACAAAGGCAGAGACTGAGATATGATCCAGTCTACAGAAACTAGAGATGAGTCGGGCACAGAGACCACTTTATCCACCCCCAAAAATTCCAGCTGCGATAACTGAGTGCCTATTAAGGCTACATTTCTGGTTTTGCGCATCTCTTGGGAAAAGACTGTGGCTGGCATCCCCTGTACTGCTGAAGTCCTCCCTTCCCTCGGAGGGTTCTTCCCAACCGCTCTCTGTCCTTCCTCGTCCCCTGAGCTGCCAGTAGGTTTCATCCTACTACCTTCACATCTGGCCAACTTCCACTACCTCTGTGGGCCATTGCGAGGGACTCGCAGCCATTCTTCCTTTCCCACCTAAGGCCTTCAGAATTGGAACGTAGTAGAATTTGCAAGGCAGGCAGAAAAACCTTGTTTCGCCTAAGTCTGTTCATAGCAGGGCTGGCTTACAGGTGGGGAGTTGCTCCCCAACTTTCCATCGCGGGTGTCAAATCTAGAGTTTGTTTTGGTTAAGTTCCTGCAGTGTCACGGACAGACGGGTTCAGCACAGGCGAACGGATGCTCAGCCATGCCGGTACCCCAGCATCTCTCTCTGCAGAAGAGGAACTGCCAGCCCGTGCCCAGCAGTCACTGCAGAGAGGTGCCTGCGGCTCTGAGTTACAGCACCCCAGGCACCTCATGCCGTCTCCAGCTGCGGCCTCCTGCTGACGCTTCTTACCTTGAAGAGGTGAGTTTGTAACCGCAGTCCTAGTGCTCCGCACTGTGCAGGCTGCAGGGGAATATATGAGGGTGCAGAGGTCCCGGCTTGCCTTTCTCCGGGCTGGAAGAGCAGAGTCTCTGAGCCCTTTGCTCTGTGATGGGGTGCATCTTGGGGAGCAGGGATGGGGGAACCAAGAGAGGGTGCATGATATCCCAGGACTGCAGTGCTAAGTCATCCTCATCAGTGTGTCTCTTCCTTTTCAGATCCCTTCTCTGCGAGAGGAACATCTGGGCTCTTCGTTGCAGCCACCAGGTGAGACTCTTGGGAGGCTGCAGCCCACCCCTCCTCGCCGGTGTCTGTCCCTATAAGCATCATTCAAAGCAGGGCTGAGAGAGAACGTGAGGACTCACGCATGTCTTTCCTTCCTCCTGCTTCCCTGTGGTGGGACCGAGTCTGTCACCCTGCTCCTTACGTGCGTCTGTCTGGTGGAAGCATTTGTCTTGGCTTCCACTCACTTGCCCACTGGCTCTGGCCACCCATCACACTCGGGGGCTCGTGGTTTGTTCTACGGCACACTTCCACTGCTTTGCCCAGATCTGGTTGCGTGTGGGCTGCGATTATGCTGACCCTCGCCTGTACTCTCTGCCGGCAAAGGAGAAGGCAGATTGGGTTGCTCGTGAGCTCTCTGAGCGTTTCGGTCCGTTTTTCTGCAGATGGGAATGTCGGCACTTACGACCTGCCAGAGGCCAGCTGCCCGCACCGCGACTCCGCAGCCTACCACGACTATGCCGAGCTCCAGAGCTTCCAGAGCGACTTCAGCTATGACAACCTGTGGGAAGCTGAGGAGAAGGAGCTGGACACCCCGCACGTCTCCCCAGCACCCGGCCAGCAGTTTTACCAGGCTTGAGGGAAGGTCTCCACAGCCAGGCACAGAAAAGCCCCCGCGCTCTTCTCTCGCTGGGCTTCCCTCCAGGGTGAGGAGCCTGGGGCGTACAAAGCAAGGGGAAGGGCCCTGCTCCGCTCTGCGAAAGGCTGGTTCCCATGTCCTGGCAGGTCCGGAGTTCAAACTTCTCCCCTAAATCTGAGGATGGGGGCAAAGCACAAAAGCGACAGCCTCTGCGGACCCGGAGGAGCAGCGTCTGTGCTGTGCTAAGGAGTGCGCTCTGTGGCTGCCCCGGCTCGGGGAGCCCTGGCTAGGCAACAGCATTGCCCTCCTGAAAATAAAAGGAAGAACAAAAAGCTGGTCAGGCTCCCTCAGATAAAAGGGACGGGGTGTTCAGACGGAGCAGTCACTCAAAGGCCAAAGAAAAGGGCTGGTTGGTGGCTGGATTAGTTTGATCATTTCCCTTTTTACCAGAGCCCTTAGGCTGGTCACTTTGAGGATCCGCTGATCCCTGAGAATAGCTGTTAAGCCGAACATTCCCCCATTGGGCTCTGAAGTCTGCAAAGATGCACGAGACATGCCCCATCGTGGTACGTAAGGCTGGTAGCGATAGCTGTGCTCATAGGATTGTCTTCCTGCAAGATCAGAGCTATCTGACAGAGTTGGAGAAAAAAATCCGGGTCTGGGCAGAATGGGATGTTCTTTCCACTTCATGCAAAAAATTCTTTCCTGCCAGTGCTGGCTCCAAACCATGGTGGTGACCTGCAATATTATGATCCTGACACCTTGGCAGATGGAATCAAGAAATGTGCTGCCAGCAAATATGCCAAGTGGCTTGTGTTTACCAAGGTCTTCCCTGGAAAGGATGCCCTAGATTCCTCTTACGGGACTGCGTCCTTTCCTCCCATCCCTCTGCACGTTACTGGGCTCACACTAAATGCTGTCTGTGAATATCTAGGTAGGGAGGGAAGGAAGAAAATTCACTGTAGTCCAAACTGCAGTACAGCCATAACTCCCCGGTGATCAGAGCAATGCCAGTGTGGGCTGCAATCTCTCTCTTCCCCCCTCCAGAGCAGCAGTAAGACCAGGACACAAACAACAGAGGACAGAGTCTCAGTGGTTATCATTTTCCAGCCTCTTAGGCCAGATCCTGTAGCACATAGAAGGTCAGCAGCAAATCCACATCTTTTTACCTGAGGCTCCAAATTCTTAACCTTTGTTCCCTAAAGAGGCTGCAAACCAAACATATTAACAAAATCTCTATTTTCGTTCTTTTACTGGTGCAAACAAAACAATCCAGGAGCTCTTTGTACTTGAATATCTATGTATTATGTTGTACTTACTTTTTTTTTTTTTCAGAAGGTATCCAACAAAGTTTACATGCAAGGTTTGAGTGGATTATATGTATTTAACGTGTAAATGTGGTTGAGTTGAAGATCTATTTAATTTTCTAGCTGTGGATGACGTTCAGTACTGTAGAATGGGCAGCTCTCTGCACATTCGTGTGTGTGTTGGTTTGGGTCTTCTAGCTGTTATTGTTTTGTTTCAGGTTTACTCTCATTTTGGGAAGATTTGTATCTAATAACTTAACCCCCAAAGGATCTATTTATTCAGAACAAAATTGCACTAGGGAACATCAGAAGCTCATAGTGTGCTGGGAGGCAGCCATGCTCGTGAGCTCCCATGAACATGTCGACTTTGAAGATGGTCACCATGATCTTTTTAATTGGGTTTCAGTAGTGATATCTGCAATGTATCAAAAGGCAAAAGCCCCTCCCTATTGCTGTAAAAGTTCCCTGGTGGATTTCTGTGAGACCGGACAATTGCAATACACATTCTTCTGGAATACTTTCTTTTCTTCTCTCTTTCTTTGCCATTATCTGGTTTAATGGAGGTGATTTTTTTGGCCGTCGCTGCTGTCCTTTCCAAAGCCCTTCCTCCCTTGAGGACTTACTTAGGGGCCCTGGGTCTAGGAGGATTTCCAGAGTGCTGACTCTTGTTCAGGTCAGGCACTTCTAAACACCTAATCCTAGAGCAAAGTCTCCCCAGCGCTTGTCAGGCAACGAGCCCTGGCTGGAGGTTTAATGCCAAAGCTAATCAGACTTTGCTTCGGCCCTGTGTCTTGGAAAGGCGCTCTGGAAAAGTCAGTCGGTGACTCCAAATGGCTCCACGCACTTCTGCAGCCGGGAATGCCCGTGCCGTGCTGTGACTTGGGATGCACTGTGCTGTCTGCTCTCTAGCCTGGGGGAAACCTGGGTGAACCGGGTGGGATGCACTGGCATACTCCCAGGTATGGAGCTGAGCCCTCCACGGGCTGCCAGGTAGTGGGGGGTTTGGGTCCGTTTTTGCCATTTTGTCAGTCTGACCTCGCTTCGCGGCAGCCGCTTTTTAACAAAGCCAGTTGGGAAGGGGAGCCGGCCACAGCCGGGGCTTGCTTGGCAAGGAAAGACCATCCTGAGGACTGCATCCAGATGCCTGGAGGCCACTTCTGTCCCTGCATCTGCTCTGGGCAGAAAACCAGGTGTCCCAGCTGCCTCTGCAGGGTTATTCTGCAGAGAAGACCAGCGAGGAACTGGATACGGCCCACGGTTTATAATCTCTTAGGGCTGGGAGCAGCAGGGCAGGCAGATGGCTTGCCCTTTCAAGTATGCTGCTCCACGCAAGACAACAACCCACAGCAGCGGCTGCTGGAAGGTGCTGGCGCTTGGAAAGATGGCAAGTGTTTGTGCTGCAGCCAGAGGCGCTCAAGAAACTGAATAACCAGGCAAGAGAGAGATGTGTTGGCCGCAGAAGCCCGGCGTGTCCGTCCCCCGGCGAGCAGCTCTCCCAAGCTCCAATGTCACCATCACGTTGATCGGTGACAGCGACACACGCGTGCACCGGGCCACCAGTAGCAAGGTGCGAGATCCTGGTTTCAAAACGCTGCAGAGACGTGACGCAGCTTCTAAAGCAATTTTTGCCCTGCTCCCAGAGTGGCAACTTTCCTCCCCAGCTACATCTGGGCTAAATTTGTCGCTCTCTCAAATGCTGCCCTTTCAACATGCAGGCTGCTCATTTCTCACGCTTCCAGCACGCCTTTGTACGCAGCTGCCGTGGTCTGTTTGGCTCTTATTTCGGGTCCTGAACTCCATCTCTGTGTTTGTGTGTCTGTGCCTGAGTTATTGCCTTGTTCCTGCAGTACTTCTGGGGCAGAGTGTAGCTACTGCCAGCTACTGCCCGGCGCAGAACATAGCGTTTTGGGATGAAATGCGAGCGTGCCCTTAGCAAACGGGCACCGTCAGGGGCTTGCACCAACAGAGAGGAGGGTTGTGGGTGTAAACAGGACCTGAGTTTACCAGAATGCTGCTGTCCAGTTGACCACTATGGCCAGGTCCCTGCTATTTCTTCACTGCTGCCCTGTAGGAATTAAGGACTGTGGTAACGAATCGCCACTGAAATGGTTACACAGCCCCTGCCATGCAAGCAGCTAAAGGAGTTTTACTTACACCCTTTCCCAGCTGGGTTTGGCTCCCATAGAAGAAGCACTTCTTCCTGCTCTCCCTCTATCTGTCCCTACTTTAGAAGGTTGTACAGCTTTGCCAAGCTGGTATAATTAATGCAGAGCAATTTGTGTGTGTGTACAAGCCCTAAAATGTTTCCAAACCAGCCCCCATAAGCATCAGATCGGTCAAGACCCACACCCAAGCTCCTGGTTTCCCTGTTGAGCCATCGGTTTTGCTGGCCCTGGGTTTTTCCCTGATGGATTCCTACCCAGATGCTGACCTGGGCGGCTCCATAGCAGGTGGGAACAGGGCTATGTTTGTGAGCTCTGTTCGTGGACACCTGCCTTGTGACCGTGAAAACCCCCACTCTGTTGCTTTTCCTCCAACCCATTTCTCAGCAGATTCAGGATTTTAAAATAGAGGGTTTAAATAAAGCGGCACTAGCCACATCAGCGCAGGTTGCATTAAAACGGAAACTGTAGTACATGCGAACACACAAAATACCTCCCATTTCCTGAAAAATGTGTTCATCCTTCACAGCCCGGCTGCGGCAGAAACCAAGGTCTGAACCAGGTCACCCACAAACTGCAGGCCTGGTGCTCTGGAGCTGCCAGCAAGCCTGTGCACATCCCGCTGCTCAGCTCGGTCACAGGATAGCTGCATCTTTATTCACAGAGGCAGATGAAAGGCATGAGATGACACTAGCTGCCAACAATTCACTCTCTGACAAATGATCTCTCCACCCTCCCCCAGTCCCTCCCAGTGCTAAGAGTCCTGAATGAGGTCCCCCCACTTCGGAAACCATAGCTGGAAGACCAGAGCGGTGCTGGAAACACCACGGGCTGCTGTATTTCTCTCCGCTTTCTGATTTCCAAGCCACAATTTCAAACTCCTTTTGCTCAGGGAATGAACAGCAGAGAGGTGTTCTTAAAAAAAGAAAGTGGAGCCTGTGACCTGCTCCTTTGGCTTCAGGAGTTTGGAGAAAAAGCTCCTGTAACTGAAGACACTGGTGTAGCTGCAGCAGATCCCACTCCTTTGCTGAGCGTGGACTTGCCAATCTTTTTGTTGTATTTACAAAGACACTTGAGGTTTGGGTATTCCTTGGTGAGCATTTCGTATGAACGTGTCTCTTCCCGTCGGCTGCCTGTGAGCGGCTGTCTGAAACCACGGCTGAGGTTGGGGAAGGACCTGCTGGGCAAACCTGCTCCCTGGTCCTGCTCCCAAAACCCAGCGCCTTCCTTGCAGAGAGAGAGCCCTTAGTCCCCTGAGGAGCTGAGGATGTGCAGGATTTGCTCTAGTCTGCGATGAGCAACTCCCTCACTGCCCTGTGGGTGGAGGAATCCACCAAAATATGACATGCTCTCAGGGCTGACGGACCTACCGACCAAAGCAACTGGCATTTCTGTCAGTCCTAGATAAGAGGGAGGTCACTGCTCCCTCTGCTCTGCCCGCTGCCTCCCCGTGCTGGCACTCCCGCGTCTGGCACAGCACCACGAGCCCTCAGAAATCTCCAAATTGCAGGGAGAAGGCAGCCACGACTCAGAAATGGCTTAGCAGAAATGTCCACGGGAAGCTTTGCTCTGGTTTTATTAGAGAGAGATGAAGCAAAACCAAGAGCGAAGGAGCTGCTCTGGCAAAAGCGATTGCTGCAGAAGAGGGGGGAGAGACGCAGCCCTCTTCCAGGCTGGGACTCCGGCAGCCGGGTGGCACATAACGTATCAAGGCCAGCTGAAATATGGAGGCAGTTCTTCAGGGTGCACCTGCCTGACTTTTTCATCTGCTTGGCAAGACGAGGTGTCAGATGTGGGAGCTACGTACAAGGCGAAGCGGGGTGGGATGGCACGGGTCCCACCTCCGGCGCTGACGCTCTCTTTGGTGAAGGGAAAACAGTCTCACGGCAGCAAGGATGCACCGAAAAGGTCGTTTCTATTGTGGTGGCCGCTGCTATTGCAAAAGATGGTGAGCTCTTGGCTCCTCCCTTGGGGGTGAGATATGGGCAAGATGACCTCGCCATGGAGGGAGAGGAGGGAGCTTAAAAGGTTGGAGAATAAACCAAGCGTTAAAATTGCAGGCAAGTCCAGGCTGGTTTCCTTGGGGGACACTAGAGACGCTGCTGCTTGAGTGAGCACAGTAGACAATCCCAGAGCTGATCTCCTGATACCAATAAGATCTTTCAATATTTCCTTTTGCTTCTGCAGGGGGCTGAAAACACCTGTCTTCTGAAATACGGACCTCGTCCGCTTCTTCCAGGAGAGATCAAAAGGAGTGTGAAATGCACCTACAGCCTGATGGGTCATCTGGCACCTTTGGTAACTTTTAGCAGGAGGAGGTGCTGAATCACGTTTATGTCTCCAAGGCCAAGCTCTAAAGGATCAGACACCGATTATCACATAGGCATTCGCTGGTAAAGGTGACAGGCACCTCGTGTTACCTACAGCATACCTACAGTACTGAACTCTCCTGGGAAGAAACTTAGCACGACTTTCTGAACGCTAGGATAGACGCTTTAGGAGAGTGAGATATACCCCGCGTCCCTCGGAGTGGGAAAACAGGCGTTCGGTGCCACCGTGCCTTTCCCAGCTCGAGCGGGTCAGGGAAAGCCAGGAGGCTACTTGTCCCACCCCGAGGGCAGTGTTTTAGCTCACGTGTGGACTGGGACACTGGGAGTGCAGAGCATTACCCACCATTCCCACTTCTTCCAACACCTAGGTCTGATTCCTTTCTGGATCGTACCTGGTATTACTACTCGCACCCAAACCACTCCTAAACTAGTTGTCTGCCCAGCAGCTTTCCTGCAAGCCTCCTGTCCGTGCCATGCTTGCCCTGTGCCATTCAGGAAAACTGACGGTAGTCTCTGACTGTAGCCTGACTGTCCACAAGCAGCAGAACAAGTTGGCTTCCTGCAAAAACCGTGCACAGAGTCTTCGAGCAATGGCAGCAAGAGAGGACACACAAATCTCTTCCCAGCAGCGATTTAGCAGCTATACATTCACGGTAGAGTTCTCCAGCCCAGCCTCAACTGACTCAGCTTCCTCATTCCTCTCAAGATGCCCAGGCAGCGAGCTGAGCTCGCAGCACCCCCGTTGCAGCAAACATCTGCAGTTTTGGCTTGTGGGGAGCAGCTGAGAACAAAGCTGCTTCCCCAGGGAAGATGAGGTCCCCAAAGCAAGGGCATCGCTTAGGAAAGATCCGGCTGACGGGGGTACGTGCAGACTCCCCACATCCCAGCACAGAGTCTTGCCCCATCCAAACCTCCCTGGAGGGGCTAATGTCATCAAAAGTGCCTTCAACATTATGCTTTCTGGCCAGAAACTCTCCCAGTTCCAGTGAGATCTTCAGGCCAACTTTGCAATCCCTTAGACATTGAGACAAACCAGAACAGCTTTCCCAACCATTTTGCCCAGTATTAAATTCAGTGACTTTTAGCACAAACATTTATTAACTGCCAGCACTGCACCTGGGAGTACTGTACATGGCTGGGAGGGAAATTAACTGTTCCTGCACCTGCAAAGTGAAGGGAAAACATTATTTCCTCCAGATTTGTGTGAGAAGGCTAGAAAACACAAAATCTGAAAAATTCAAGCCAAGCAAGAAGTTAGCGGTGACCGTTCAGGATTTAGCCGTGTCCCTTACCCTGGGGGCTTCACTCTGCATGAGGAATTAGGCAGGAAGAGCCAGAGCCACCCGAGACAGGAGCTGGCAGTCCCAGAGACCCCCTCCTTTCAGCAAACCTGTCTGCTGCCCTCCTCTGACCTTCTTCTGCTTTGCTCAGCTCGGCGTGACAGTCTCCCAGGAAAGCCCCACATAATGAAAAAATTGCCTGATTCCTCCAGCTGGTCCCCCATTACCCACCCGCCATGCTAAGGCTGCTGTATTTCCACCTGCCACCGAGAACGTGGGGAGCGCTTAATGGATTATGGCTGGATAAACAGTAAAACTGAGCATATGCGAACGCTTCAGCCTCCCCTGTGCCTGCCGTGCTCCTGCTCAGCGGAGGGAGCGAGGTCTGCTGGGCAAATCTTTCCAAGCCCAAGGCTGCGGTGCTGGGCGGTCCTGGATGCGGCTCAGACTGGAGAGCTTGGCTGCATCGAGGGGTCTGGGGAGGGCAGAGGCCACGAGGATCGATGGACCGAACCCGGGAGCTGCTGCTGGGCATTGACTTGGGCTCACTGGTCTGTTCAGGGGGCCCCGGGAGGAGCAGGCTGGAGGGCTGGCAAGAGCAGGACTCTGCTCAAGTCCCGAGTGCTTTTGAGAGAGGAGAGAGGGCAGGGCTCTGCGGATCACGCTGTTCGCGATGTGCGGCAGCCAAGATGTGTCTCAGAGGGGTAGGCATGGGGACGGAGCCAAAGAAGAGGAGAAGCAGCCCATGTCCCTGCATACACTGTCCTCCGGGGCTCCTCAACCAGCACATCAACTCCTACATTTTTTCTAGCAACAGACACGTAATGGATTGATTTCTCATTCTTTAAAACTCAGTACTCATTCAATAGTTTCACACACAAACAATGTGGACACAGGAATGTACACAGAAGTATTACACGAGATAGATCTTTATTAGAAGCTTCCAGCATATTTTATCTGTTCTCCTCCTCCACAAACCTCCTCTTACTGGGTATACAGCTACTATAGTCCATATAGAGCCTGTACATCTCTCTCTTTTGCTATGTACCGCTACATATCTCACTGTACAATTGTACGGTGTGCTCTCATCAGCAATAATATGTGGTCTTAAGTACAGCCCCACACATATTAAAATTGCATGGCACTCTGCATTACAAGGAAAGAGCTAAACCTCTTCTGTCTCATTTCGTGAGACAAACATTGCCACAGACTGTTTCTATAAAGCTCATAGGCAGATCCGCACAGGTATTCTGGGCAGATTTCCCCCAGTACCTTTGTGGATCTGGTCCCTAAGTGCTTAACAAATCTCACATTCGTGCTGTTATCAGACTTGGGAGTGAAGAAAACCCCTCATGAATAATGCCCTTGAGTGATCAGGAAGGCACTAGAGACAGGGAAGAACCTGAACCACTTCCTTGCCATTTTTCATCCCACCTTGCATTCCGGGCCCCCTCCAGCCCTCTCCAGCCCCACAAGTTTACACACTCGGCCACGGCACCTCCTCACTTGACATCTCCTCCCAGTCAACTCCCTGTCTCTAGGATGGGAGGCAGTGGAGGGACCAAGTCATATATCTACACCCTTCATCTGGTGATCGTCAGAGCCAAACATGGTACACGTACTTTTTCCTCCTCTCCAACACGCTCCTGTCCGTATCGGGGCTCTTTCCTGAGGCTTCCCTGAGCTCAGCCCCTTTCCCTGCTGTCCCTGCAGCCCTTTCCATCCCGCGCAGCCTCCTGTAGGGCAGCTTCCCCGCTGCCCCTTCTGGCTCTGGCTGCGTGACACTGGCCCATCCTCTGCCCACGGGAGTGAGATGTGTCCTTGCAGTGGGTTCTCCTCACCCACGGGGACAGACATCACATCCGCAGCTCCGGCTTAGCAGGGCTGAGGTGGCCACATGCAACAGAAACTTTATCTCAGGCTCCTGAACTGTTAGACCGAGCCGTGACTTCTTGGAGTGAAATCCAAGAGGATGAGTCCTCCTGCAGTGAGCCAAACCGGTCATGGGAGACCTGAGCCTTGCCAAGTGAGCGGCCCCTCCATCCCTCTTTAGCTCTTCCCCAAAGTTCTCTCCTCTCTTCCTTCACAGATCCCCCAACCCTTTCATAGGAACGAAGCACTTTCCTAGTTTCTTTTGCTCTCTCCTCCCTCCGCTACCTCAGCGCCTTCCTTTGCCACCGGGTGATCGCAGCAGGGAGGACGGACAAGCAGCAGCCTGGAACAGACACTGTGACTACTCCTAGGAGATAGCACAAGTATGCAAGAAGTGTGCAAAGAAAGAACAGAGCCAGCCCGCACCGGGCTCCTCTTCTGTCCAGTACAGGTACAAACTGCCTACCGTATTGAAAATGACTGTCACCGGAAAGATCCTGCTTCCTGTGACATCTTGTCCCGTTTAGGGATGGGTCCAGAGTCTTGGTGCTGGGATGCAGGCTTCTCACACTGCCCAAGAACAAAGTCCCCAGCCTCTGCCTCCACCGTCCTCGCCTGTCCTCGGGAAGCACCTCTGGCGTGCGCCGAGCCTAGGTCCGAGACTGTCCTTCTCTGACCTGCCTTCGGAAGTAGCGGATGGCAGAAAGCGTGCCAAAACTTGCCAGGAACACTGGAAAAGAGCCCAACACATTTCCACGGTGAGTCTGGGTGCTCCTTCCAAACCCGAAGATCTTTTTCCAAACTTGAAGATCACAAGCTACTTGGCTCACTGGGGTCCACGGGACCCTGGGAGGTCGCTCCCCTCCCTTTCTCAGACCCCTCCTGCCTTTGCTCTTCATCCCCCCCCCACTCTGCTTGTTCCCAGTGCATTCAGTCCCGAGCTGCCCACAGCCTGGCCGACCACATCTAGTCCTACAGTTTGGGCATATGGCTCACACCACCATTTCACAAGAAACATCTGTTTTTAAGGGAAACGCAACATAGACTTCGTGCCTGTGGTAGAGATGGGTGGTGGTTAGACATACAGGTTCACGTGGAGATCTAATGGGTCTAATCTCAGATGAGAGGGCCACAGGAGGAAATCTCACCAGGGCTTCAGGACTTCATTTTCTACTTCTGTTTGGACCAGGAAGATGCCAAGAAAAATACCATTTTGTGGGTTATCTGTGGATACTCTGATCCCAGCCAAAACCAGAAAATACCCAAAACCCAGAATCAGAAAATGCAGACATATAAAAATAATTAATGGAGGTCGTACACAGAATCAAGCTCTTCTCTGTACTTTCAGCTTATGTTTTTAGCTTGGCTTATTAGAGAGGTCAGATTCCCGATCTGTTCCCAAGCAAAACCGGGAACCCAAGCCATGCCTTTGGACTTCCCAGTTTAAATTCGGGCTTGATTTTGATTTACGTGTTAGAGCCTGGGACATAAACAGGGAAATCCAACTTGTTAGAACCTAAAATGCCAGAAGAGAACTGCCTGTCCAGGATGTCACCCTGTCTCTTGCTCGCCTCCCCTCCTCGCCAGGGTGCTTACTGCACGCTGGGTTGTGCAATCCCAAGGGCACGAGGCCCATATCCCGCTTTTCACACCCTCTCTGAGGCCACATCTACCGTCTAATACTAAGAAGGCAAGGAGGAGCAAGCCAAAAACTCCTTGTGATGATTGCACCGAGCAACTTTAGCTAATGAGCTATTCTCAGGCCGGGGTGTCAGCTTCCTGCGTGACCTTAGCGGGGAACATTCCTCTCCTGGACAAGCAGCGGGAAGCCCTGGCCCCGGCGTCTCACCCCGTGGCGAGGTTCTCGCCGGTGCCCACGGGCTGGACCCCGCGTTCAGCTGCTGCACTCGGTGTCCCGCACCCTGCTCATCCAGCGACCTGCAGCCCTTTGGGCCACAGCTCAGCTAATTCGTGTTGCCCAAGGTTCCTCTCTCCCCCACCAGTTATTCAAATGCTGTGATTGGAGAGGAGAGGAACTGCCAGAGCTCCATTTACTTGCAGGGCTCGGTGCACCAGGATAATACTTCGGCTAAGCTGTATTTAGAAAAAAGATTATACCTTTACAGCACATTAGAAAAATACATGCATTTGTTCCAGCTGAGATGAGGGAGTATAAACCTGCATGCTCAAGGTCCCGATTCAGCTTCTAGCCAGCAGGGATCCTAAAGAAGCCTCTCTTCCCCTGACACATCAGTACTGGTCCCTGTCAGAGGCTGGATGGAGCGGGGCCAAAGCTAGGAATACAGGCTTGTCCTACGGCTCAGTTCAAGTCAGCAGTCACTTTGTGAGGGGAAAGGACAACATAAGTGAGCAGGAATAAGGACTGCCACTTCTATAGGAGAAAGAAGGTATTAGAAAGTAGCAGGACACTTTGGAAAAGCAGGAAAATGATTGCATTTTCCCACAGGCAGTGTGAGGTGTCTTAGCATCCCTGCCTTTCTCCCTGCTGTGTCTTCCACGAGGTCCTTCCCACCCCTCTCCCGCTAGGCTGGGCACCGTACGTACTGGTCTTCCAGGCATCTGGAGCCTGCAGGTCGGAGGTCTTCACTGCCCAGGACGCAAAGGCACAGAAGACGAGGCACATGTCTTTGTGGGTCAGCGCCAGCGGAGCCTTGGGCCTCCCTGCAAGAAGAAGAGTACGAGGCTTGGGGTTTTACGATGCCTGCTCTGCCACAGCAGGATCCAGTCCCTCTGGGGCAGCGAGTCCCTTGCACTCCCAGAGAAATACATCTTTGTCACACATTTTCCCCCCCCAGAAGACCTTTTTTCACCATTGGTCAAGTCAAACTTGTCTATTTAGGACTCAGGTACGTTTCCTAAGGAGAGGGGCACGTTTTTCACCCCTCTCAGTTTTACACTTCGTTAAGAGCCCGAGACAAATATTTTTGAGGCAGAGCCAGCGGACACGCTGCCTCCAGGACCTCTGACTGCCTCACCACCTCCCTGCAGAGGTTCTCAGCCCACCCCTGTGTGGCGGCTGGAAGCAAGTCCAGGGAGTAGGTTTAAGGAGAGAGCAATTCCTGGGGTGGCTGCAAATGCACTGGGGCTGTAGGCAGGTCCCTCTGGGCAAGGTCCCCTTCCTGCAAGACGATGCCCCGAGACACGTGCAGCTCTAAGACCACACATATGCCCCCGAGAAGCACCAGCGCTCAGCATCTCTCCACGGATCCCACCTCACTCCCACCGCCTGCTAGGGCCAGGGAGGGAGACAGCCCTGAGTGCTCTGCATTTCTTTCTGTGCTGGAGTTCCAGTCTGAAGACATGTTGCAAGAGTGGGTTATTTTTGCTCCTGTGTTTATTTGATCAGGCTTTTAATTAAAGCTGGCTTATTAATTAGCTACGACCCTGGCAAAGGGGTTTTTCTCTGTGCAAACAGACTGGAAGCTCTATTTTGAGGCACCCTTTGGGATGACTCATTCATTGTTTGGTTTTAATATTAACTATGAGGCACTGTGGCTGTAAGCATCATATAAGCTTTAAGATAAATATGCTGGCTGTCCTAGTGGGTCAGACTTGCTCTCCCTGTATTCCTGTTTCTCTTCTGTGCCTCCAGTAGCAGTCAATGTTCAGGTAACCTCTGAGGTCTCTGGAGGGTGTTTTTCAAATCAGCATGTGTTTTAAAGTCCCCCTCGCCTCTTTCAGCTGGGAGCCTTGGACATGTTCCACTCTGTGCACACCTTTTCCCCCACCAATATGAGATTGATTAGCAGCCCAGCTTTAACATGACAGCAGCTCAGCAGCCATTGCCTTATCTCCGAGGCATGAATTCTTTGGTACAGAAGGATTTTGCTGCTCTGCCTCCCATTCCCTCATCAAAAATACAGGTACGTGGATCTGCAGGCTGTTGGATGGCACTGGGGGTGGGGATTCCTATCTCTACCAGACCTTGCAATAACACCAGCCATGTTTAATGCAGCTATTCGCTTCAGTAAGTTTTTCCTTGGCCAGAGTGCAAAAGAATAGATTAGATCCACAGTAGTTATGTCCATTAAGGGGACAACCGAATCAGCTAGGACAGGGACTTTGGACCAGACTGATTTTCAGCCTGTTGCATGCATGCTGTCACGACCACCTCTGCCCCAGGAGTGGGGTCTGTGGGGAGCAAAGCAAGTTACGCACAGAATAATATACCCAGATTCCCCATCCATGCCTGGGGCAGCACTGTGAGTCAGCCTGCGGAGCCTGGCTGGCAGCACTCGCTTGGCATAGGGACAGCGTGAGCATCACAAGAGAGAGCCAACGCGACGCAGCACGTCACGGTGGTGGCTTTTGCCACGTTTCCCCTGCTAAAGCCCAAGGGCTTCCCAAGGTGGGAGCAGGGGAGACCACCCAAGGCAGAGGCAACATGCAAGCCGGGGCTGTCGGGCAGCGGGCAGGGGGTAACGGTGCTTTACCTGTCAGCGCAAGGGCCATGTCCAAACCTTCTGGACGTGCCTGGCCTCTTCCCAGTGGGGCCAGCGGGACGAGGGGGAGCTTCTCTCCGGATCCTCTCCGCACGAGAGCCTGTGGGGCTGGGGCTTGGCCTCTGACGAGATGCATTGGCCTTTGCAGGAGGGACTTCAAAGCCCCCACAGCTTTCTTCATCTCGGAGGCTGGAGCAATTGAGAAAATCCCTCTCCAGCCCACCCTGTTCCCAGGCCTGTCTGGAAAGAAGTGTTCATACACCTCAGGGACCGAAATAACCAGGGAGTCTTTGACTGGAGCCAAGTCGGGATCCTCATTTTGCAGCTGAGCGTGGTCCAAGCTGCTGAACTTCTTTCGCTTCCTGTCTTTACCCTTGACTTTTTTCCTGTTTCCTTCTGGTTCATTGAAAAAATATTCATACAGTTCAGGCAAGGAAATTTCCCTTTCCAAGGGTGCTTCCTCCCCCTCCACCGAGCCCCCCATTCCTTCTTCTTCCCCTTGGGAGTCACAGAAAAAATAGTCGTACATCTCGGGCCAAGTCACATCCAGGGTGTCTGCCCTTGCAGAGGCCCCAGCTGCAAAGTAAGGGGGGCTCAGCTCCCCGGGGGTCTCAGCTGCAGACTCCCCATAAGCTCCCTCAGCAGCATCCCCTCCACAAGCTCCCACGCTCTTGAGACGGAGAGGCTTCCCCGGTGCCTCCTGGCACGCCGCTCCCGGAGGAGCCGCAGCTCCGCCGGCAGGGACCATCGGCACATTATCGCGTATATCCAAGCCACCAGCCTGCCCTGGCTTTGAATATTTGGTGGTCTTCGCCTTCCCCAGGGGCTGTGCCCCCGGCTCCTTCACCTTCTGCTTCGGGGAAGTGCTCACGGCTGGATCGCCCTCGTCCGTGCCAGGGCTGGGCACCAGCCGTTTGCTCTCCCCTGCCTCCTCGCTTCCCAGCTTCACCGGAGCCAGCTTGGCCACCTTCTCCTTCCCTTTGCTCTTCCGTGAGGACACCGGTGAGCTTAAAGCTGCCTTCACCGGTACACCAGTCCCCTGCGCCGCAGCCCCCGCAGGCTCCCTGTCACCTTGGGCCGCTTCGACGGCACCGGCTCCGCGTTGCTTGCGGCTTTTTCTCAGCTGTCCTGGCACCTTGCGCCTCACGACGTCCGGAGAGCCAGCCGGCGAGCTGGGCTCGGCGCCCGCTCTCTCCCCGCTCGCTTCTTCCCGCGCCGGGCAGCCGGGTGCTCTGGACGCAATCTCCAGGGCTGGGCTCGGAGGGTGGTCACGCAGGGGTCCCCGTAGCCCGGGCTCCGAGCGGGAAGAGCTGCTAGGACTTTTCCTTGCCGAACCCTCTGGGGAGGCAGCCGGTGCCGGCAAGCTGCCCTGCACCGGAGTCGCCGGCTGTGCCTCCCCCAGGCTGCCACGGGGCCGTTGCCCTCCCGCGTCTCCTCTCCGTTCAGGGGCACTTGTTCCAGCGGGGTGGCTGGGAGGCTCCGTGGCCTGCCCGCCGCCGGCTGCTGTTTTCTCCGACGCCGGTGCCGACGCCGGTGCCGCTGCTTCACGTGCTGTGTCCTGCCCCGGGCCGCCCTCGGGTGCGCTGGGCGGC